ACTTCATGGCAAGTAGATATGGAAAAAGTGGGAGCAGTGACAGATTTTACCTTCATGGGCTCCAAAATCACTGTGGATGGTGACTGCAGCCATGACATTAAAAGATGCTTGATCCAAAAAATAAATAAAGAAAAAATAAAAGATGCTTGTTCTTTGTAAGGAAAACTATGACAAACCTAGACAGCATATTAAAAAGCAAAGACATCACTTTTCTGACTAAAGTCCGTATAGTCAAAACTGTGGTTTTTCCAGTAGTCATGTATAGATTTAAGAGTTAGACTGAGAAAAAAAAAAAAAGAATTAGACTGACCCTTGCTTAACCAAATCAAATGGAATTCAGATCATTCTAATGGAAGAGAGAGCTTTAGACAGATGAGATCTAAGTCCTCAGGGCTTCCTAATATCTGTGTATGACCAGTTAAGAGTTTAGGGTGCTGTCCTGGGCTTCCCAGATGGCGCCAGTGGTAAAGAACCTGCCCGCCAATGCAGGAGATATAAGAGATGTGGATTCTACTAAAACAACTTAGCATGGACTGAATAACAGTGCAAACTTAGTTGCCCTGTGGCATATGGGATCTCAGTTCCCCAATCCAACAACTTCACCTGGACTGGAAGGCCGATTCTTAACCAATGGACCACCAGGGAAGGCCCTCCTCTCTGCTTTCTGTGCAGTGTCCCATGTGACCAACAAAAGAGCTCCCTCAGTACATGTCTTATAGTGGGCACTTGCCCAGATAATCCTCTACATGACATTTGTACCTTCCACTAGGAGACACAGAAAGCTGTGTTTGTTATTAGGGCTCTTTACAGGCATTCCCAGGGAGTGCTAGTGGTAAAGAATCCGACTACCAACACAGGGGATGTAAGAAATGTGGATTTGATCCCTGGGTCAGGAAGATCCCCTGGAGGAGGACATGGCAACCCATTCCAGTGTTCTTGCCTGGAGAATCCCATGGACAGAGAAGCCTGGAGGGATACAGTCCATAGTTGCAATAACTCGGACAAGACTGAAGTTACTTAGCAGGCACTCACAGGCATTCTAGTTCTTTTCCTTCCAGGATGAAAGTGGAAAGAGTTCCTGTCTCCGCCCACTTTGAAACTAGGGAAAGCTATGGATTAGTCAATACACTGTGAGCACAACTGTCCTGTGTCACTTCTGGGCAGAAGCTTTAGAAGCCAGGCCATGTTTCACCAAGTCCCCCTCCCTCTATTCATCGGTGATTGGATGGTGATTATGGAAGCTCATATCTTCCCTTGGCCTTAATCCCTGGGGAACTAGAGTGAGCAGACCTCTCCCCACTCACCAACACGAGACACACAGCATGAGCCCAAAACAGACCTTAGCTGCTGTAGCCACCCACACCTGGGGTTCTTTGTTACTGCAGCATAACTTCACCTACTCTGGCTGATACAGAAGCTGTGACCTTCTACACAAATCCAGGAGAGATCTGGAGCTTCTAGAAGAGCACTCACTGCTGAAAAGGAACTTCATGATCAATGGGCTGCTCCAGCTCCTGAATTCAGTGAGCTCAATCCAAGGTTGTGGATGGTTCTGAGAGCCGGCAGGAGCCCTCCATCCCTTTTCAGCAGCTCCCCACAGGAGACTGAATGGTGCACCTGTTTCTCAATGTGGTCTGCAGCCCCAGTCCCTCATATAGGAAACCACCACCCCGAGTGCCATAAGCCATCTTTCCCATGGTTCTTAGACAAAATGTGTAAATAAGGTGGGCAGAAGACAGGCATTTTTTGTGCAAATGAAAAGGGACTTGTGGGTGCTGTAAACCCTGAGTTCACTTATGGCTGAGAAGCTCTGACTGTTGTTTTTATATTTTAATGTCAACGTGGCTGGATTGTAGTATTTGCAATTCATATTCTAAGTAGGCCTGCTCAGTCCTTTCAGTCCTGTCCGACTCCCTGCAACCCCATGGACTGTAGCCTGTCAGGCTCCTCAGTCCATGGGTTGTCTAGGCGGGAATACTGGAGTGGGGTGTCATGCCCTCCTCCAGCAGATCTTCCCCAACCAGGGGTTGAACCTGTGTCTCCTGCATTACAGACAGATTCTTTACTGCTGAGCTACTGGGGAAGGCTGTTTTAAGTATATACAAAAAAATATCTGCTTATGGTAAACATGTCAAAGTGCAGAGTAGGTTATAAAGTGAAAAAAAAAAGTCCTGTTGTATCTCTGTATGCAGTCACACTCAGCCATCTCTCTATCAAGCCAGCCAGGGGTGCAGGCACACCATCTGGCCCTGAGGTGCTCTATAGAGTGTGAGAAACGGCCTTGACCTTCAGTAGGCTTATGTTAGAGTCTCAGTTAATGAAGTGGGGCCAGTAATGCTTCTGCTGGGACTGAAGCAAGCTGGATGGAGACTGTGTGGATCTAGCGAGCACTTGTCTTATCCCAAAGGGGCAGCCACAGTTCTGCACCAGCTGTTTCTTATTCAAGGAAACAAAGAATGCAGACTCACTGTTGCTGGATTCCAAGTGAAAGAAATGTGTGGTTCCTCTGCCAAACTTAACACACAGAGGCTGGACCTGATCAACTGGCAGATGCTATAATTCTTAAGATGAGCTCTGAGGCCTTGGGAAAACTAGCTTTTTTAGAAAAAATTATTTTATGATACTAATTATTTTTATGATTTTATATTCCTTTCTAAACTTCATTTATTTATGTATTTATTTTCGGCTGTGCTGGGTCATTATTCCTGCATGCAGGCTTTCTCCAGTTGTGGCGCGGGCCACTCTTTGTCGGGGTGTGCAGGCTTCTCTTTGGGGTAGCTTCTTTTGGTCGGGAGCACAGGTAGGCGCTCAGGCTTTGTTTCTCTGCATTATGGGGGATCTTCCCAGACCAGGGTTCAAACTTGGGTCTCTTACATTAGCTGGCGAATTCTTTACCACTAGACACACCCCCAGAGACGCTTAAATCCTAGATTTATCACTCAGTCATTCCCAGTTTCCTCATCTATAAAATGAGATCGTCAACAGGATTCTCATGAGGATCAAATGAGATGCTGAAAGCTCATAGGAGACGGACTCTTCATACAGCTTATATCCAGGGGAAGAGTCAGCTGAATCTCATCTGGGAGTTACACACATGAAGGCTTCTTTGGGACACAAACCTGAAGATGAACAGTTAACTGGGTGCAGCGGTGAGAAGGGTGGAAGGGAAGAAGCTAATCGGTAGAGGGACTGGCGCCATAAAAATCCCTAGGGAATCATGCAAGCCCAAACTAAAGCAGTGAGGCCGAAGAGCAAACAATCTTCCGGGAGTCAAGGATTTCCTAAACACACTGTGAGCTAGAAGGAACCTCTCAGTTCAGCCTGTAGCCAGTCCCTGCAAATTTAGGGCTTCACATCACACCAGCCAGCCTGCGTTCAATTCCTTGCCAGAAGAACCACACTCACCAAATCTTCCGCAAGGCCCTCGAACCACAGGGCTCAAAATTGAATTGTTTTGCAGGCAGAGGAGGAAGACTAAGGAGGCAGGTCAGAGGTACAGTGGGAGGAAGCAGGCCGGTTTGCCTTGGCAGCTGCGGTGTTTAGCGGGGAGGGAGGGGGGTGAAGCGAGGGGGCGGGGGTGCCTCCAAGACTGGTTGGGCAATTTGCAGCGACCACAACTTCAGGTTGAGGAATCTCATCAGGTTGTTGGACCTCAATCAAATGGAGAATGGGCGCCCCCTAGGAGCAGTAATCGGTAGTGGACACCGAAGGACCCAGATGAGGGGCGGGGGAGCAGTCTACCTCAAGATGGGGTAGACTGCCTGGCACAGTTTCCTTCTCCCAGGAGCTAACTCCTTCCGGCATGACGGACACCTGGGATCCCAAAACAGCTGGGCTGGAAGAGCCCTCGAGAAAGGAACTACCAACATGTGCCGTGTATCAGGCCCTGAAGGTGGGCGTTTTCGTGAACACTGTGATAACACTCTCCTTCGAGGTAGGTATCATTATCCCCACTTTTCAGATGAGAAAAATCGAGGTTTGGTGACTTCCCAAGGAGGGGTGGGGATTTTGTATGACTCCGGGGCCTTTTCCCTGGAGCTCTCCCGACTTGGAAGCTACCGATTCTCTGAGGTTTGGGGGAACAAGCATCAGGTGTGAGGAACCGAAGCTTTCCAAGGGACAACAGCGTGACAGCAATGTCGGCAAGAACCACGCCTCCCTTGTCGCGACCATACTGATTACTGTTGCTTTCCTTTAAGAGCCTTCCCCTGAAAGATGAAATCCCCGCCACACGGGGAGGCGGATATTACATATTGTTGGATCTCTTGGAGGTCTTTTCTCCCCTATCCGCATTGATCCCCACTGGCGAGAGAAATACTTCCCTCCACTAGCGAGTGAAGGTATGAGACTACATTTCCTGGCAGGCCGTCAGAAGCGGGTGGCGAGGAGAGGAGAGACTCTCGTTTTCACCCGCTCTCAATTTGGACTGTCGGCGGTGATGCACATTTCACCAGCCCACGTCCTTTCTCTGTTGAGCCAAAGAAGGGACTACGTCCCCCAGCAGGCACTGGCGCAGAGGATGCGCTAGGCCGCCATCTTTATTGTAGTCCTTTCTCCTGTTTCCACAGGGAGTAACCTTAGCGAATGAACTACACATCCCAGGTCACCGTCTCCCCAGTCCTCCAGCGGCCATCTTTGCTGGTAGACCCCGCCCCTTTCCCCCTCCATTGTCTGAACGAAGATAATAGAAGGGAGCAGGGAAGACTGCAATTCCCGTTAAGCTTTGCGCCAAGAGGAGGGGAATTTCGATATTACAGGAGGGCGAGGTTCCAAGGTGGTAGAGTGAGGCCACCGCGAGAGCCTAGGTTGCCTGCCATTTTTATGGTAGTCTCCTTATGCTCTTGGCCCTGCCATTCTTAAGGAACTCTAGAAGGCTAGGAAACTACTATTCCCATCGCACCTCATAAGATGGACTACTAGTCAGGTGTCCGCCCCTCTTCCGCCATCTTGCTTGTAGTCCTCGTTCCTTTTCACCTTTCCATTGTTCCTGAAGAGTAGAAATGGCAGCGGTAAGGCAGCAGACGGACTGCGACTCCCATCAGGTATCACAGACGCGGAGGGTTGTGGACAGGAGGGCGTGTGAGTGCCTGGGAAGGAGGTCGGACAGGGGTAGAAGGCCATCTTGTCTGTAGTCATCGTTCCCATTCCTCTGTACTCTGAAAGTTGGAGCCTTGGGGCAACCGGACTATAACTCCCGGCACCCTACACTCCGAGTTTGACACGTGCTCCGCCATCTCGTTTGTAGTTCCCGCTGACCACAGCATCCCATTGATCCCACGGTAGCACCAGCGGCCCTCGGACTACTACTTCCGTCGTGCCCTGCGCACGTTAGTCCTGAAAAGTGGAGGTGGTGGGGGAAGGAGGGGCAGGGGGCGGGGTTCCTCTGGGAGAAGGAGGGAGTAAAGAGGAGGAGGAGGAGGGAAGGAGGAGGGAGGGGAGGGGAGGGGGAAGAGAGGAGGAAGGAGGAAGGAGCTCAGGAGGGATGAGAGAGGCGGCCAGGGCCCCGAGCCGAAGCAGCGCGGGGCCGGGGGACCAGGGTGGCTGAGGCACGCCTATTGCCCCATCCCCCTTTTCCTGTCCCCTTCCATCCTTTCCATCCACCCTCCAGCTTGAGGAAGGGGGTTTATTCAAATTTTATTTAAATCTCTATCTCCCGAGGGTCGCGCGCAGGGGGGAGGGGGAGAGGGCGGGGGCGCGCGCAAGCTGGGGGGGGGGGCGGGGCCCAGCAGCTTCCTTCACCCCCCTCTGCTCGCCCCGTAGCTGTAGCGCAGGGGGCCGCAGACCAGGGGCGGGCCCAGGGGAGGGGGGCAGGTTACAGGGACCCCCCCCTCCCCGGGAACCGGCGGTGGGCGGGGCTTGGACCCCGGAAACGGTAGGGGGTCCTAGGCCTGGCCCTGGACCCCTGGCCAGTGGGCATCGGGAAGGGGCCAGTTAAAGGGCCGGGGGCACTGGGGAGAGGCGGGGCGGGGTGGGGGGAGGGGAGCTGGGACTCGGACCCCCGCACTGAGTGGGGCCCGGGCAGAAGCTGTGCACCCTGCGCCCGAAGAGCCCCCGTTGGCCTGGGGGTACTGAGGGACTGAGCCCCCCAGAGCAGGACCTCCCCCTGGAAGGGCCGCGCCGCAGCCCGTGGGAGGGCCTCGCCCCCGGCGCCCCCCATCTGCACTCGCCGCCGTCCCGGCCTCCGCCGGAGGGAGGGGCCGAGCGCCCTCGGGGGGCCGTGGACCCCGGCGTTCTGAGCGTTCCGCGCCCCGCGCCGCCCGGCCCCCCCGCCGCCGATGGCCGCCGACCCGCCGGGAGCTGCCGAGAAGGGAGAGATGGCTCCCGGGACACGTGTGAGGTGGGTTCATGCGGCTCCTCCTCACCCCCAGACCTGGGCAGCTCCCAGTCCATTCATCCTCAGCCCGGCCTCTCTCTACCTTGCCCGCCCCCAGCCTCACCCTCTCTTTGCGCCAAACTCCTCATCTCCAGCCCTCTTTCCTGTTACCTCTCAACCCTGAGAAACTGGCCTTCCTTCCTCGACCCTGCTTCGCCTTGCAGACCCCCATCCCCGCCTGCGGTTGCAGCCCTCCAAGGCCCCTCCCCTGGAGCGCTGGAGGGCTCCTTTCCCCCCATGGATGGGTCTGAAAAGGGGGAAGCTGGGGTAAGACTCTGGATATGAAGAGACCCTCCAGGCCTGCTGAATCTGTGTGGGATCTTGGAGGACCTGGTTTCCCTGGGAAGAGGAGCCCAAGGGATTCCAGACAATTAGGGATGGAAAGCAGCTTGGGAAGCTGGGAGGCAGGGGGCGGTGCACATGAGCCCATCTTGAGTTCTATGGAGATGTCAGGCTGGATTTTAGAATCCCAGGGAATCTGGGAGATTGCCCAGGTTTACCTGGAGACCCATAAAGAGGCTGTGTTGGAGCAGAGGGAGATCTCTGTGGAACATAATTGAAATTTGGGGCCACGGAGGCGTTCTAAAGCAGCGTCTCAAAGAAGGTCTGTGAGCGCTGGGAAGTTGGGTAGCCTGGTGGATCTTTAGGGGTTAGATTGAGTGAGCAGGTTCCCATTGAATCTGAGGAGGAAATCTAGGCTTTAGGGGAAGAGGAGTTGGGGGTTAGTAGCTTCTGAGAGACGAGGTCTGGATTTGGTGATCAGGAATCTGTGGGGATCTGGGAGGTAAATTTGGGGTATTTCAGCTTGGAGAGAGCCTGGGATGGAGCACATTTGGAGAACAGGGGAAGAGTTGGGACCTGTCTCAGGTGACTCCACAGACAAGGAGTCCCTGGTTTTCCCAGGAGCTTCGCTGCGGGAATACCATGGAAAGGCCCTTGTCCCTTTCGGTGTCCCTTCGTCCTCCCTGGGTCAGGCGCGGGAGTATGGAAGAAATGTTAGAGTAGGAGTGAGGTCAGCAAGCTAGTTCTCAGGGCTCCCGGAGGAGCCAAGTGAGCTGCTTCAGGAAGAGGGTGGCCTTGCCTAGAGGGAGGGGGGTTCCTCTGACCTTCCGCAGGAGGGGAACCTCCGTGTTTCTTGTCTCCCTGGGTAGGAAGCCAAGCTCTGGCTGCCTAGGATTGGGGGCAAAGCTGCCAGGAGTCTTGCTGGCCAGGATCCCTGTGGGCCCCCCTGACCTTGCCACCCTCCACCCACAGCCCTCGGCGTTGCTGACGCCCCCAATGTCGTCGAGCAGCCGGGGGCCGGGGGCCGGAGCGCGCCGACGCCGAACCCGCTGCCGCCGCTGCCGGGCCTGTGTGCGAACTGAGTGCGGGGACTGCCACTTCTGCCGAGACATGAAGAAGTTCGGGGGGCCCGGGCGCATGAAGCAGTCGTGCCTGCTGCGGCAGTGCACTGCCGTGAGTTCTGCCCCTGCTGCAGGGGGCACCCTTCCCCAGCTGACCTCAGCACCTATCTGGGGGGCTGGGGGTGACTCTGCTCAGGGTCATGGAAAGTTGCCATAGGTTTGCTCATTCATTCACTGGCTGGTTCACATATCCGCCAGGCCCATTTCTGTCCTCAGCTTCAAGCTGGGGCCAATATTTGGGTCCACAGAAGAATCCCTCCCACTCCCTACCTTCAGGCTTTTCCCAACTTTAAGAGGCAGAGACCCATAGAAAGCTCGGGCCCCCTTGGACCCCCTCCCCAGAGCCACGAATGGGTCTTTGCCTTCTTTGGCCTCCTTTTCACCTGTGAGGGTGGTCTCGGATTTGATGCTAGTCTTACCCACTGTGTGACCTTGAGCAAATCACTGTGACCCTCAAGGTACCTCCTCTGTGAAATGTTTCCTTTGCTGAGTTGTAAAGGTCAGACAGCATGGATAAAAATGTACCTGCTGCCAGGCGCAGCCCACAGTAGGTATCCAAGAACTATGGGGCTGTGCCTGCTGTCCTCATCCTGAGTGCTCCCCAGGCCTCCCGAGAGTGGTCCTTTCCCAGTAGCCGTAGGACCGGCCGCATCCTGTGCTCCCCGTGACCCCACCTCCCTTTTTCCCTGCTGTCGCCCTTCCTGGTCTCCTTGCCCCACAGCGCCTCCTGTTTTCCTTTGTCCCCTGACCCTTGCCTCACTTTTCTTCTTCCCCACCTGCTGCTTCCCTGAGCCTGCCTCACAACTTTCTTGATATGACTCAGTATTACCCCTGATTTTTTTCCTAAAGTCATATTGTCTGAGAGCTGCTCTCCCTTCCCTAAGGTCAGCCAGCTGCCCTTAGTGTTCCCAGGGGTCTTGCCAAAACCAGGTTCATTGTGGGGTCCAGGGCAACCCCCATACGGCTCATTGAGCAAACTCAGACTCACCCCAAGCTGTCTCCATGTTCCCTCCAGCTCTCTCTGAGTTTGCTGTCACCTTGGCATATAGTCTTCCCTCCTTTCCCAAAGCCAGATACCACATCAGGTTACCCAGGCCCTGGATCCAGTTGCAGCCATCAACAGTGACAACTGTGTATCTACTACCTTTTCTGCATTATCTCATTTTTATGACAGTCCTGCAAGGCAAAACTTCCTAGCCCCATTTGACAGATAGAGAAAGACATAAGGGGGTTAAATCAGTTCAAGGTCCTACTGCCAAAAAGGAACAAATTCAGGATTTGACCCAGCTTGCCTCCCTGGGTTCTAAACCTCATCTCGCATCTGGCCGGGGCCCCCAGAAAGAACGGTCTTACTCCTGTGGCTTGCTTTTGGGGTCCCTGACACCCCTCTTTCCCCCCACAGCCTGTGCTGCCACACACAGCTGTATGCCTCTTGTGTGGGGAGGCTGGGAAGGAGGACACAGTGGAGGGAGAGGAAGAGAAATTTGGTTTGAGCCTCATGGAGTGTACAATCTGCAATGAGATCGTCCACCCTGGCTGCCTGAAGGTGATGGTTGTGGCGACCCTGGAGACCGGGGTGGGGCTCGGACTGTCAGGGAGTATGGAGCTGGGGTAGGATGCCTCTTGGGTTTTTTGACACCTGACATCCACTCCCTGCCTCTGTCTACAGATGGGGAAGGCTGAGGGTGTCATCAATGCAGAGATCCCCAACTGCTGGGAGTGCCCTCGCTGCACCCAGGAAGGCCGGACCAGCAAGGTAGAGGCTGGGGCTTGGGTGGGTGCCAGGCTCTGGGTAGGCAGGAGGTCGGGGGTTGGTGCAGAACCTCACCCTCAGCTTCCATCTCCCCAGGATTCAGGTGAGGGACCAGGCCGCCGCAGGGCTGACAACGGCGAGGAGGGCGCCAGCCTGGGGAGTGGATGGAAGCTGACGGAGGAGCCGCCACTTCCACCACCTCCACCCAGGCGCAAAGGTCCCTTACCTGCTGGGCCCCCCCCAGAGGACGTGCCTGGGCCCCCCAAAAGAAAGGAGAGGGAGGCAGGGAATGAGCCCCCTACCCCAAGGAAAAAGGTGAGCCAGGGAGCATGCTCACTCGATCCAGCCTAAGGGATTTTGGGAGCTGTAGTCTGTTGCTTTTGGGGGGAACCTGGGACATTTAGCTTCATGGGTTCCCCCCAGGGGTTGCTGGGAGATGTAGTTCGGAATTTCAGGTGGGAGGACAGCGCATGTTCAGTGTGGAGGAGAGGTACAGGTGAGAAGCTACTGGCGCTGGATAGGGAAGCTTTGGGTGCTTTAGGGAGGAGGGAGAGAGCATGCTCAAATTAGCTGCTGCAGAGGAGGAAGGAGGGGCTGGAAAGGGCCTGAGGGGGAAGAAAGCGAAGATGAGAGCATGCTCAGTGAGCCAAGACACTGGTTACCGGATGAGCATGCTCAGAGTTCTCTCTGAGGTGGGGGCTTCTGGGATTTGTAGTTTTAAGAGGCGAGCATAGATCTTAGTTTTGTGGACAACCAGGGGCTAATGGCATTTCTCCCTTGCCCCCTGTCTCCTTCTTGCCCTGGTAGGTGAAAGGAGGCCGAGAAAGGCACCTGAAGAAGGTGGGTGGAGACGCCTGCCTCCTCCGAGGATCGGACCCAGGCAGCCCTGGCCTTCTGCCCCCCAGGGTTCTGAATCCGAGCCAGGCTTTCTCGTCCTGCCACCCTGGGCTCCCTCCCGAGAACTGGGAGGTGTGCCGGGGACCTCCTCCCTCCCCTTCCCACTTTCCTTTGCCCCACCCTCTATCCTGGAGACAGAAATCTGTCCTTTCCTGCCTACCTTGTCCTACCCCACCCCTTGGCCATGATGGGCAGGCAGTTGGGCCCCTGGGAAGAGTAGAGGGGAAGAGTGGGTTGGGGCCAGACCACAAGAGCCCTAGACTTGCCAAGAACCCTTGGGGTATCGTTTGACCCATTTGCCTCATCTTTCCAAACCTTTAAGGGGAAAGAACTGAGTTCAAATCCCTGTTCAACCATTGACTTGCTGATTGGTCTTGGAAGCTTATCAGCTGCTCTGGGCTTCAGTTTCCTCATCAGTGAAATAGACATGATACCACTTTCCTAACCCGGTCTGTGCCACAAAGCTGTTTAATGACATTAACTGAGTTTTGTAAACTGCAAAGGGACTAGATTTGAGGGAAGTAAGGCCCAGAGAAGTTTGAAGACTTGTCCAAGGTCACACAGGAAAACTCGCATTCAGCTGTCACTTTGCACTGACACATCAAATGCCAGGGTCTGCTTGACTGCGTTCAAATTCTTCCTCTGCCATTTGTCAGTTTGTCACCTTGGGCAAGTTCCATAATCTCTCAGAGCCTACATTTCCTCATATCTGGAAAGAGTGGGCCAAGTAGCCACTGCATCCCAGCGCTGTGAGGATGTCATGAGTCAGCGAGGGTGGGAGGCTCCGCCTAGGGCCGGATGATCGTTGTTACTCTCGTCTCATTGCAGAGACACTCGAAGTTGTTTGGTCCAGCTTTCAGTGTTGTAGATGATGAGAAAGGGGCTTCCCAAGGTCACCCAGAGAATTGATAGCCAGGTCAATATGCAAAACTAGATTTGTAACTGTCCTCCACACCTCACTGCTTTTGGAAACTCATAAGCTATCGAGACACATAAGTCTTTGAATTCTTCGCATCAGCACCTTCCTGTGACAGATAAGGAAAGTGAGAAGTCCAGAGTGGGCATGACTTGACTGAGGCTCCACAGGGCAGGAACTCAGGACTGTCCCTCCGGCTGTTCATCCCGCCGGTGACTCCTTGGGGGTTGGGTGGTGGGAAGGCAGGTGCCAGGCCCTAGAACAGCCTCCATCTCTCCCTGCAGAAACCAAAGCCGCCTTTGGCCTCTGCTGAGGGCCCGGCGGTGCCTTCCCCGTCACCCCAGCGGGAGAAGCTCGAGCGCTTCAAGCGGATGTGCCAGCTGCTGGAGCGGGTGCCCGACACATCCTCATCCTCCTCGGACTCCGACTCAGACTCCGACTCATCAGGCACATCGCTGAGTGAGGATGAGGCTCCTGGCGAGGCCCGGAATGGGCGACGGCCAGCCCGGGGCAGCTCGGGCGAGAAGGAGAACCGCGGGGGGCGGCGGGCTGTGCGCCCTGGCGGCGGAGGGCCCCTCCTCAGCTGGCCCCTGGGCCCCGCACCCCCGCCCCGGCCCCCACAGCTGGAGCGGCATGTGGTTCGGCCCCCGCCTCGAAGCCCCGAGCCCGACACGCTGCCTTTGGCTGCTGGATCCGACCACCCCCTGCCCCGCGCCGCCTGGCTGCGTGTCTTCCAGCACCTCGGGCCCCGAGAGCTATGCATTTGCATGCGAGTGTGCCGGACTTGGAGCCGCTGGTGAGTGGCCTGGACAGGCCTAGGTTCCATTGCCCACATGCTCCTCACTTGCTGGGTGACTTGCAACAGGTCCCTGAGCCTCTCTGGGCTGGGTGCTTGTACTGATGATGCTTCTATAGGATGTACATACTGTAGTTGGTACTGCTGTATTGACTGCACAGGCTGCTTTTGATTTATTTGCTCACTGAACCCTCACAACAACTCTATGAGGTGGGTATTGTTATCCTCATTTTCAGAGGAAGCTAAGGTGAAGGTCATGTGGAGAGGAAACAGTAGAACCAGGAATTTGAACCTGGTCCTTCTGGCTCCAGAACCTTTCTCCTTAAAATTGTTACTTATGAGTGTTTAATATGTGCCAAGTATAGTGCTGACTGCTGTACCTGCATCCTCTCACTTGCTTTTCACCTCTCTCTTCTGAGGACAGTCTTACTATTGATCCCACTAACACATAAGAAGGGGCTTCCCATGGCTCAGCAGTAAAGATCTGCCTGCCAGTGCAGGAGACTCAAATTCGATCCCTGGATGGGGAAGATCCCTTGGAGGAGGGTATGGCAACCCACTCCAGTATTCTTGCCTGGAGAACCCCATGGATGGAGGAGCCTGGTGGGCTACAGTCCGTGGGGTCGCAGAGAGTGGGACACGACTGAAGCGACTTAGCACACATGCATGCACACCTAAGGAAGCCCTTTACGGGGCTTCCTCACTTCCCACTGCAGAGGGCATGAGTTCAATCCCTGGTGGGGAAACGAAGATTCTGCAAGCCGTGTGGCACAACTCAGAAAGCAGAAAGCCTTTTGCTGAGCGGCCCCTACTCCCCAAGTGGCAGCCATATTTGAGCCTCCTCATTAGGCTTGGAACTCTTTTTGGCCTGGAGCCACCACCAGCACCTTCCACTTACCTTCCTCCCATCTCCCCACTGCCTCCTGAGTCTTGTTTCTGTAGGAATGTGGGTCAGCCTCTCCAACCCCTGGTCTTACTCTTCGGTCCTGTCCCTGACAATCCCCACCCCCAGCTCTCCACCAAACTCCTCCAACACTCCCCCCACACCCCAAAAGAGCACATAGAGGCTTTCTGCATGTTGACAGCCTTCATTCGTTTTCATGTTCCCATGTAAGTATTTGGGGCAAATACCGTATCTGTTTTATCTTCATGTTCTCAGCACAGGACAAAAGGTAATGTGTGTTAGTCGCTCGGTCGTGTCTGACTCTTTGCCAGCCCCATGGACTATAGGCCACCAGGCTCCTGTCCATAGAATTCTACAGGCAAGAAAATTGGAGTGGGTTGCCATTTCCTTCTCCAGCGGATCTTCCCAACCTAGGGACTGAACCCCCGTGTCTTGGATTGCAGGCAGATTCTTTCCTGTCTGAGCTACCAGGGAAGCCCAAAGTGTAATGTAGGTGCTCAAAACACATTAAGTGAGTAAATCCAGGTTTTTTCCCCAGACCCTTCCTGTGGCCCGGGCATCCTGTTGGGATGTGCACACATTAGTTGATATGTTCTCATACTAACAGCAGCCCTGTGAGGGGGGTCGTGAGGGACACTTGAAGTCAGTGCAGGCAGTGGCTGACCTTAAACCCCAGTCCTTTTCCTTAGGATTCTGGTGTACTTGTTCACACTTGCTGGTCTGTGGAGGCTACAGAGCTACGAGGAGGGGAAGGCAGGCTCTGGAGATAAATTACCCATAGTTGAATCTTTTTTTTTTTAAATGCTTTTTTTGTTTGTTTGTTTGTTTGGCTTCACCAGATTTTAGTCGTGAGCTCTTAGCTGGGGCATGTGTGATCTAGTTCTCTGACCAGGGTTTGAACCTGGACCCCCAGGAAAAGTCCTCCATAGTTGAATCTTTGCTGAGCTGTATGCTATCAGCCTAGTTCTTTCTCTGCGCATCCGTTTGTGCATCAGTTTCTTCATCTGTTAAAACAGGAACCAAGGCATTTACTTCATGAGTGTTTTTGTGAGCTGATACAATAAAGAATTGAGGACAGTACCTAGGAAATAGAAACTTCTTAGTGCCTTAACAGCAATCATTATCACTGGTTCAGCTACAAATATTTACTGAAAGCACAGACTCTTAACATTCTGGGAACTCAGATCTGTGCCCTTGAAGAGTTTTCAGTCAACCTGCAACATAGTAGAAACAAGTAGTTACAGCAGTTGCTGGGATCACCTCCTCCACCTCTAGACGTCAATGGGGAAAGGTTTGCCAAGGCCTCTTGGTCAGGGCCAGCCCTGTGCTTGGTACATGGGACCCAGAACTGATGAAGACCCAATTTCTGTCTCAAGGGGAGACTCATGACTGCAGGTGGATGAAGCAGAGAAGCTGGACTGGATGGTGGTTTTCTGCTTGGGCCTAGGAGTCTAGTCCCCATGGGTTTCGTCACCTGTGACTCCTGTACTTCTTGGATGAGTGGCCATGGGTGGATTGCTATACCTATCAGGGCCTCAGTTTCCTTATCTGTAGTCTGGGTTCATATCAATACCTAGTAGGGATGAAATGAGGTGATTCTTGGAAAATATTTAGCACAATTGCTACAGGGTGCTAAATGCTCAACAAAATGGTGGTTTTTGATGAGCAGAATGAGGGTAGGGCTGCCCCCCTGAGGGGGGCACAGTGGGACTAATCCAAAGGCTCTGTCAACCTGGGCACAGAGGCAGGGCCTGGGGGGATGAAGAGGAGGGACTGGAGTTGAGAACTTAAGAAGCAGGATGACTTGGATTTGGTGGCGGTAGGGTGACAAGCAACTGGGTTTCTGGTCCATGAGCCTGGATGGGCCGCAAGATCATGGCCCAAGCTTGGGAATACTTAGCAGGGGCAGGTTCCCAGGTCAAGCCAAGTGCTCACATTCGCCAGGTTTGGTCTGAAAGGCCTTTGGGCCCATCAGGAACTAACAGGAGAGCACCTGGAGGTACAGGTCTGTTGCTAAAAAGAAAGATCCAAGTTCAGGAGTTTTTAACCTATAGATAGCAACTTCAAGGAAGAGGACAGAAATCAGAATGTCAGCACTTGTGAGTTAGAGAAAGGACAGCAAGAGACTTGGAGGGGATTGCGAGCAGAGTGTGTCCAGAAGGAGAGATTGAGGAGAGAACATGGTTGGGTGTTGGCGAGAGGTTGTGGGAGATCAAGGACCAGAGTGTCAGTTGGATTTTGCTCCAAGTAGGCCTGGCTGTCTTCTGCTGTGCTGTGTGGGGGTGAGGGCACTGGAACCAGGTCGCCTAGAATTGAGGTTGGACTTGATCTGTTTGTTCTCTGCCATATCCCTAGTTTCTAGGATACCCGGCTTACAGGAGGTACTGAAGAAACACTTGTCGAATGAATGAAAGTGGGGAAATCAGGATGGAGTGTGAAAAAGAGGCAGCGAAGATGGAGCTGGATAGAAATTTGTAGGTGGGAGAGCAGGAAGTTGCAGGCTTTCCCATCGGATGGCTTCCATCTTCTCTTGAAAATGGGAGGCACAGTGATCTGCCCAGGTCAGGGGAGGGAGGTGGGGTGGTGGGGGGAGGCGAGGCCTGGGGGAGTTGCAGAGTCCCAGGGAAGAGGGTGGAGACTTCACTGGAAATGAGCAAGGAAGGGACTACACTGTCTGGTCAAGGCAGCTGGATTTGGGACTAAACACTGATGGATGGATGGAAGGACCTCAATGCCAGCAAGGAGCCCAGAAAGCTGATAAGGAAGAAGTGGCTTGGGTTGGAGCCTGGGAAGCTGGGAAGTCCTTACGGGTAGCAGTTTGGGCTGGTCTAGCTCGGTGGCTCCAGAGGGCCTCTGCAAGAGGGAGGTTTTGGACTCAACTTTGGAGGTGGGCTGAGTTGGTCAGGGGTATCTGGAGTCAAGGGGAAAGGGAGTGGGGTAGGGCATTTGGCCATCAGGCTTGGCCTCCCCTGGGTGATGGATGCCTTGGCCTTGGATTTCTTCCAACCTATTACCTAAGTGTCATTCTCTAGTCTAGAAAGAGGGCTTCCCAGGTGACTCAGTGGTAAAGAATGTGCCTACCAGTGCAGGAGATGTGGGTTCGATTCCCTAGATCAGGAAGATCCCCAGGAGAAGGAAATGGCAGCCTGCTGCAGTATTCTTCCTTGGAAAATTCCATGGACAGAAGAACCTGGTTCATAGGGTCACAAAGAGTCAGACATGACTTAGTGACTGAGCGTGCATACCCTAGTCTAGGAAGAACCTGTCTATGGCCCCCTGTCACCCTCACAACAAGCTTCCATGGTCCTGTTGGACATTTGGACAAGAACAGTGACTGCACTAAACACTTCCTCTGCATCGTCTCCCCACCCCCCCACCCCCCGTTTTAAACATTTTTCATTTAATTATTTTAAATCACTGTTTTTAAAAAAAATGAGACTAGAGTTAATTTACTCTCCCTTCATTTTTGCAGCAAACCTGTGAAATCAGTACTGCTTTTATGCCATTTTATGGTTTGGAAAATGGAGGCCCAGAGAGAGCAAGTGACTTGCCTAAGGTCACTCCGAGCACAGAGGCGGCAGAGCTGGGGCTTCAGTCCCCCGCTCACATTCTGCACCTCAGAGCTCTGTGCCCATGTTCATCCAGCCTGGCATTCCAACCTTCCTGGCCAAGACACCCCTACCCTGGGCTGGCCGTCCTCCATAGCCTCGCCCCTGCCTCTTCTCCATATTGGAGCTCTCGATCCAGACCAGCTTGCTCTTCCACCTGGCTTTGCTGCCATGTAATCAAAGTGGGACCTTGAAATCAGTCTCCTAACCTCCCTGGACCTCATTTTCCTGACCTCTAAAAAGGACGTGGTGATTATAGTATTCACCTCCTAGGGCTGTTGTGAGGTTAAATGTCTAAGGCGTAGAATGCAGTAAACCCTTGGTGAACATGGGTTTTCATGGGTGAACATGAGGTATTCATGCTGGAGTCATCGTCTCGTCATCCTCATTGTTAAGGTGAGATGATGAATCGCCTTTTGTTCCTACTGCCTAAGGTTCTCAGAGCTCTCCCGTTTTTTTGTTTTTTGTTTTCCCTGTGTACTTGGCCAGGACACTGGTTCTTCCTTATCTGAACTCAAATCTTCTTCCTCCTCCCCTCGCTAGAATTAACTACTGTGCAGTATGCAGGATCTTAGTTCCCTGAGCAGGTGTCAAGCCTGTGCCCCCTGCAGTGGAAGCGCAGAGTCCTAACCAGTGGACCTCTAGGGAAGCCCCAACTGTTGCCTGCCTTCAAGTCTCAGATCTGGCATTGCCTCCCTGGGAACCTCTCCGTCCCAGTTTCTCACCGGCTCTTATCATGTCCCTTGTTGCCCCAGTTACTGTGAGACTCGGCTGCCTCCCCCGTTTCCTTACTGTTCAGTGTCTTGACACTTAGTGTCAGTAGGGGGCCCTCAGTGACTATTGGCTGCCACTCTGAGATTTTAAACCCAGTGTTCTGGTCATCTAAGGGCAAAGGGACAAATTAGCTGCAGCCAAGAAAAATCAGGAGAGACTTCCTGGAAGAGGAAGCACTGGAGCTGAGCCCTGAGGGATCCGGGTTGGTTGGCAGTTCCATCAAAGACAAACATGTGCCAAAATGGGTTGGCACCAGATAGCAGGTGTCTGTTGGTAAGCAGGTGTTTTGGCCTGGCCCTTGTGGAGTGCAGTTTACAGATACAGCTGGTGGCCTGTGTGTGCCTTTGGTGGGGAAGGGTTCCCTACTAGTCACGTAAGATCCAGGAGGGCTTCAAGTTGGTGGTGACAGTTGAGTTGGAACTCACGACTGGGTCAGAGTGAGCAGAGAGAAATTTTGGATGGAATAGGATTTCACGGAGTGGAAGGAGATAAGGGACAGAACCTAGGGGCAGAAGCTGGATTGAAGGTGGGTAGTTTTTATTTTTCTTTTCTTTTCCTGTTTAGAATCGGAGAGATTTGCAAGTGTTTATTGTTTGAGTGGGTGGAACCAGGAGAGGGAGAGGCTAGAATGCTAGAAGAGGAAGTGAAATGGTAGGAGGTGGCAGGTGGGACAGAGGGTGGAGTTTTTTGGATCAAAGCCTTGGTGTATGTGTTTCCAGCTTCCCCTAAAATGTCACCCAAGGGTTCCCGAGCTTGCCTGAGAGTTGCAAGTGGCACAAAAATTTGACTTGTTCTTTCTATTATTAATAGTTTTGAAAAGAAAGTTCCTCCATTGGGTGCTATTATTATATCTTTTGGATATGTGCATGCTCAGTTGTATCCAACTCTTTGGAACCCTATGGACTGTAGTCCACCAGACTCCACTGTTCATGGCAAGAATCCTGGAGTGGGTTACCATTTCCTCCTCCAGGGCATCTTCCTGACCCAGGGATCGAACCTGTGTCTCATACATCTCCTTCATTGGCCAGTGGATTCTTAAACACCTGACAACTTTTCTAATACTTATCTCCCTGTTTAACAAAAATAGTCTTTAGATCGCAGCCAAAAGCCATAGCAACACCTAGCTAGAATTTAATAATCCTGGTCTGTTCTTGTGGTGTTTATGTCTAAGTGTAACATATGTATGTGAAACTATACTGGTTTTCAGTGCAAATGCTGGTTTTAAGAATTGATTTAAAGATAAATTTACTTTCTGTAGATAAGTGGATACTGAATGACGGGAGTTTGGGCATCTCTGCCCCAGCCCAGGGCTTCCTGAAAGGAAAGCCTCCAGAAGCGGGGCTGTGAGAGAGATAAGAGACAGCTTCCTGGTTCCCCTCCCCACCCCTGCTGCTTCTGATACAGTTCATCTTACCCAGTGGGAACTTTTTTGACATGGCTTTGAACTACTGTACTGAAGGAAACTTTTCAAACCACATCTCAAGGAACTTTAGTGTATTGGGTTGGCGAAAAAAAAATTTGTTCGATTTTCCATAACAGCTTACTTAGAGGGAAACGTGAATGAACTTTTTGGCCAACCCAATACTACAGTGTATTAGTAGATGACTTCGGCAGAGATGGGGAAGGGTTCCCTGGTAACATCAGTTTGGGAAGCCTTTCTCCAGTTCCCTGCATGTGGGTCTCATCAAGGCTGTCAGAGTTGCTGGGGACCAACCTGTTTCACTTTATGCAGGCCTCATTCATCTTTGTAGTTTCAACAACTGGGACCTACTAGGCCCTCCATAAACACTGCCTGACCGAATCACTGGGAAGCCATAAATGAAGTGTGTGGTAGGGGTGCTCCGTGGGAGCTCTGGGTGGTTCACACTCGGCACAGATGTACAGCAGGTAACCTACACCTGGCCCGGTGCTGGGCACTAGGGTGCTGAGAGGAAGAAGCCAGGGCTGCCCTGGTGAAGTCTCCATTCTGGCTGGAGGCTCACAGTAATCACAGACTAGCAAGTCAAGCCCTGGGCAGCTGGTCCTCAGGATGAGCAGACGCGGATCACGGGCAGGAATTAGTAGAGGTTGAGAAGTACCCACAGCCACCGTAACTGGTGAGAAGCCCAAGGCAGAGGATGGGGGCTGCTGCTGGATCTCTTTGGGTCTCCATCTAATACAGTGTGTAGAGTGCGTGTGTCTTTGGCACAATGCTTTGGAAGCTTTAGGCCCACTCACTATAGATTTTTTTTTTTGGTTGGGCTAGATCTTCACTGCAGGACGAGGCCTTCTTTAGTTGTGATGCTCGGGCTCTAGAGCACGCAGCCGCAGTAGTTGCAGCACGCAGCTTATCCAGGTGCCCCGTGCTGGCTCTCTAGTGGCAGTACATGGGCTTAGGTGTCCCACGGCATCATGTGGGATCTTAGTGCCCCAACCAAGAATCAAACCCATGTCCTCTGCATTGGAAGGCAGATTCCTAACCACTGAACCACCAGGAAAGTCCCTGTAAGGTCCACTAACTGTAATAACCCCATTTGATCTTAAAACCACCTCGTGGGCAAGGCCCACCTGTTGACTATCATCTTTTGTGTTATAAACAAGGCCTGAGGCCCAGGGAGAGGAATGGGCTTGCCTAAGATCTCACATCCAATTAGTGATGGAGTTGAACCCCAAATGCAGTGTTCTTGGCCTGGGACCTGGGGCTTCCTGCCCATCTTGCTGTCTGGTATGGACCAGGAGAGAGCTGGGGTGAACCAGGGTGGGGATTGTAGGTTCCCTGAGACTGAGCTGAGGACTGAGGTCTCTGTCTCCCCCTTGTGGCCAACAGGTGCTACGACAAGCGTCTGTGGCCTCGGATGGACCTGAGCCGGAGGAAGTCACTGACCCCGCCCATGCTTAGTGGTGTGGTTCGCCGCCAGCCTCGAGCCCTGGACCTCAGCTGGACAGGTGTCTCCAAGAAGCAGCTCATGTGGCTTCTGAACCGACTGCAAGGTAGTGCCGGGTGGTGAGGTGGGGGGGGGTGGGTGAGGGAAAGGAACAGACCTGGGATGGACCCCTCCTAGCACCTGTTTCCGGGGACCTCCCCGCTCCCCCAGGCCTGCAGGAGCTGGTGCTGTCTGGCTGCTCCTGGCTCTCTGTCTCTGCCCTGGGCTCAGCCCCACTGCCAGCTCTGCGGCTCCTGGACCTCCGCTGGATTGAGGATGTTAAAGACTCCCAGCTCCGCGAGCTGCTGCTGCCTCCGCCAGACACCAAGCCAGGTGTGGCCTCTCTTGGCTCCTTTGTAGGAGGGTTTGGACAGGCTGGGGGATGAGGCCTCCATGGTCTCTTCCGATTCCTGCTGGGTGTTAAAATGATTTGGAGAACGGATAGAGCTTGTGAGGTTGAGGAGACAGACCCTGCTTGGCCCATGTTCGTTCATTCACTTTCCTGCTGTGTGCTGGGCCCTGTGATCAGAGCTGAGGGGATGGGATGAGGAAGATGTAGCCCCTGACTTCCAGAGGGGAAGATAATTAGGGGATGAAACGCAGTGTGGGACAGGAGGATGACACAGAATTCTAGGAGAAGCCAGGGGATTGTGAGCGAAATCTCTGGGTGTGGTGGGCACTGTTAGGGGAGACTTCTCCCAGGGGAGCAGTGGGACTGCTGTGGAAGAACGCAGGCCTGGGGTGGCTAGTCAGTTCCATTTGTCAAGAGGAGCCAGACAAAGGATCTTCTGTGAAATATCCTGGTTTTTAAATGATGGCGCGTAATTCAGATTCTTTTTAAAATTCATGTGTTGGCCCAGCAAGGATAAGATTGAGCAGTAGAATTGGCCCGTAGATCTTCTTGCCCTGAAGTGAAACAATGAGGACTTTTCTGAGGGAGCAGAGCAGAAACGAGGGAGCCAGCTGATTTGCACGGTTGTGTGGAGGTGGCGGTTTCATTTCCTGAGTCAGACCGCAGCCACCTCTTCACCCTGCTCTGGCCCTGGCCTCTGCCACCAGGTAAAGTCAGCTTCACGGCACATAGCCTCTGGGCCTGGCCCTGGGTAGAGCCCTGGAGACCTCAAACTGAGTGAGCCCCATTCCCCACACTGGTAGAACCCCAGTCATGCAGAAATAGAAGGGCATGACGTGGTAATGGCTGTGGTCGGTGAGAGGGTGGCGGGGGTCGGGAAGCAGGGCAATGAGAAAAGCCCTCCTTAAGGAGGTGCTATTTGAATTGAGTCCTGAAAGAGACAGGATTTTCCCAGGGAGTGTGAAGGAATAAGCAGTTTTGTGAGGCCTGGGAACCATATTGGCAAAGAGGGGATGCTGGGAACTGGGGCTGGTCTGGTAAGCACCAACCTGGTCACTTTGGGGGTCCTATTGAGGTGTGAGATGGGAGTGCTGAGGCCTGGGGCTCTTTGTCTAGTTCTAGCCAGGAGCTGGGATACTCAGCATTTTCTCTGGTTCCCACCAGTCTGTTCTCCATAATGAAGCCGGGGAACCACCCAGAAGATCAGGTCTGTCCATGTCACCCCATGCTCTCCACTCGTTCTTTTTTTTTTTCTCCACTCGTTCTTGTTGTTCCCTGGTGCTCTTTGGATGCAGATCAGTATTTTACTGTGGTCGATAAGGCCACTGGTCTGGCTCCCACTGACCTATGCTATCCTCACATTTCAGCCACCTCAGCCTCTTTGCCAAGTTTCCTCCAGCCCCAGGGCCTTTGCCTACTCCTCTTTGCCTAGAATGCTCTGTCTTCCTTCACCTGATACCCAACCGCTTTTTAGGCCTCAGCATCAATGTCACTTCCTCCTAGAAGCCCTCCAAGATCTCCTCCTCCATTGAGATGAGAGTCCTTCTTCCAGAGAGCAGTCCCCTCCTAGCATATCACTGTACAGTGGTGAAGTGATTTGGTTAAAATCTGTCTCCTCCTACAAGGTTCTTAAGCTCCATGAGGTCAAGGACTGTCAACTCACCCCAGCACCTTGCTTTGGTAGCTCTCTTTCATGGCTCCCTTCTTGCCACCCCATCCCCCTCACAGCAGTCTTGGAAGGGGAGTAGAGAAGGAACTAGGATTTCTGGGTGAGGCCCCAGAGGGCTTGAGTGACAGCTGCAAGTCACACAGGCCAGGCCACATCTGAGCACCCACCCGTGGCCCTCTCTTCCTGGAGCTGGACTGAGCATTGAGAACAGTGCTTTCCGTGAGGTGAGAACGTGCCGTTTGCCTGGCAGACCAGCTCCATCTCCTCCTGCTTAAATTGACTTCAGTCTAAGCCCCTTTATCAGGAGCTCGCAAAGGTGAGCCGTCCAGGCCCCCCAAGCCTAATATGCTCCTTGAGACTCTCCCCACATTCCCCCCTCCCCTTGGCTACACTAGGTCTTTGTTGCTTCACTCGGGCTTTCTCTAGTTGCAGCAAGCGGGAGCTACACTTTGTTGCAATGCACAGGCTTCTCATTGCAGTGGCTTATCTTGTTGTAGAGCAGGGGCTTTAGGGCACACGGGCTTCAGTAGTTTTGGTGCTTGGGCTCAGTAGTGGCTCACAGGCTCAGTTGCTCCTTGGCATGTGGGATCTTTCTGCACCAGGAATCGAATCCATGTCTCCTGTATCGGCAGGCGGATTCTTAACTGCTGGAGCACCATGGAAGCCCTCTACGCCCACCTCTATCCCCTTGGCTTCCTGTCCTCGTGTGGCATCCCTGGGTCAACACTGCAAGTTTTCCTACCTCCTTGCTTTTGCCCCTGCTGTTCTCTGCCTGGCTGCGCTTCCCTCCCCCATTCCTTCTTGTTCAAATAAATCCCTGAAGGCCCACCTCAGTGAAATCCTCCTTGAGCCCACTTGCCTTGCCCCAGCCACACGAGACCTCTCTTTCATCCGCTTCCCTCTGTTGGCCTTTAGCTGTGGCCTGAGGTTGAGGGCATCAGCAGGTATATCTCCGCTCCAGGCTCTCAGCTCCTCAAAGTGAAAAGGAGAGAATTCAGAGCTTGCCAAGTAGGTGCCCAGAGGTGGCCTGGCAGGTTACAGAAGTGGTGAGCTTGGTGCAGGATGTTAGGGAGTACACCTTGCCACCCAGCTTCAGCATCGTTGTGGGATGAATGGGGTAGCCCAGTGATGCTCGATCTTACAATTTTTCAGGGAAAAGCTCCATATCAAAGTTTCTTTATAAAAATGGCCTTCTATGTAGCATTCCTGGTGGCTCAGATGGTAAAGAATCTTCCCGCAATGTGGGAGACCCGAGTTTGATCCCTCAGTCAGGAGGATCCCCTGGAGAAGGGAATGGCTACCCACTCCAGTATTCTTGCCTGGAGAAGTCCATGGACAGAGCAGCCTGGTAGGTTACAACCTCTGGGGTTGGACAGGAGTGAGCGATTCACACACACCTCTTATGTAGCATCAGTCATTAAGAAAAATGTGAACACTTTGCAGATCCCTAAAACACTCGTGCAGGCTAGTTCCCTGACTTGGTGTTGTATGATCTAGTTTATTTATCTCAGGGTGAGGTCGGGGCCTGGAAAGCTGATAGCATTGTGGTTAAGAGTTAGGACTCCCGAGTCACAAGGCCTGGTGTCTTGGCTCTTTCATCCATAATCATGTGATCTTGAGTAGCTGGCTTGGGGATGTAAGCCTGAGTGTTCTCATCTATAAACAGGAATGATGATCAGAAAACTTGCTTCCTGAGGCTGTGGTTCTTAAAGCGTGGTCTCGGGACCAGCAGCTCAGCGTTGCTGGAGAACTTGGTTTTTCCTTTGTCTGGATTTTTTTTTTTTACAATGCCATGTGGCATGCAGGATCTTAGTTTCCCAACCAGAGATTGAACCTATGCCCCATGCAGTAGAAGCACAGAGTCTTAACCTGGACCTCCAGGGAAGTCCCAGGGGAACTTGTTAGACTACCTGGGGGCGGGGCCAGCAATTGGTTTCACCCAGCAGCCCAGGGAGATATAGAAGTCAGTCTCTGTCTGTCTGTCTCCCTCTCGTTTTTTCTTTCTCTCTCTCTCTCTCTAATTGGAGAGCCACTGGGCTGGGGCAGGCTGCCACTTAGCCGCTGCCTGGCCTACAGTGTGTGGTCAAGCACAGATAAAAAAAATGGAAATGCGGGATCATGGTAGATACAATATAAAGGAAAGCTTTGGGGGCAGAGATGAAGGGTAGGAGCTCTTCCATCCCAGAGATGGAGGAAGGGGAGGCCTCTGAGCTCAGATGGGAAAGCCAGGGACCCTGGCCAGGCAGGGGACTGAACACAGGTGGCCTTGGGCAGGGTCCCCTCTGGAGTTTGGCTCAAGTGTTTCTGAAGGAGGGAGAGGAATTTGGAGCTGAGACAGGGGTGAGACCTTGTAGGAACGCGAATGTTCTCCCAAGTAGATTAGACTTCTCTGAGGTGCCCTTGGAGAGTTTTCAGCAGAAGAGGGATGTGGTCTCACATTTGAGAACTGCTCTTTTTTTAAATTAATTTTTATCGGAGTATAGTTGCTCTCCAATGTTGTGTTAGTTTCTGCTGCACAACAGAGTGAGTCAGCAATATGTATACAAATATACATCCCCTCTTTTGGGGATTTCCTTCCCATTTAGGCTGCAGGAGAGTACTGAGGAAAGGTTCCACGAGCTGTACAGTAGGTTCCCATTGCTTATGTGTTTGATACACAGTATCAGTAGTGGGTCTGCGTCAAGCCCCCTCTCCCAGTTGTCACCCCACCCCCCTTTCTCCCTTGTGAGACTCTCTGTCTTTTGATAAGTGAGGAAGTGGGACAGGAGGCCGTCCTGTTGGGGATGTCATTTGTTGGATGAGTGACTATATATTGACAAGCATCTATGTCCCAGGTCCTGTGCATAGATCAAGAACAAGACAGACAAAAACTGCCTTCCTGGAAGTGGCATTCTGGTGCAAGCGTCCCCAACCCCCAGTATCACTCCCCATGGCTCCCGGTCACTCCCATTACCACCTGAACCGTCCCCCCCCTCCCCCAGCCCTGTCCGTGGAAAAATTGTCTTCCATGAAACCAGTCCCTGGTGCAAAAAAGGTTGGGGACTGCTGTTCTAGTGGGAGAGGAAAAAATATGTCAGTGAGAAAAAGAGGAGAAGGTACAGGGAAGGAGTTGGAGTACGTGGAATGTTTTGGTTCCGAATGGCATAATCGTGGAAGGCCTCCCTGAGGAGGCAGTGTGAGGAGACAGATGAAATCTGTCTTGTGTGGGTTTGGGGGAGAAGAGCAAGCCACGAGCCACGCAGAAAATGCAAGTTGAGGTTCCCTTAGAGTGGGAGCAGGTCAGGGGGTGGCGAGGGAGGAGGGTGGAGACATAGCCGGTGCAGGGATGGGAGAGGCCCACAGTGGTGACCTCTTCTCTGCCTACCGCAGGGCAAACGGAGAGCCGAGGGCGGCTACAGGGGGTAGCCGAGCTGCGCCTGGCCGGCCTGGAGCTGACGGACGCCTCCTTGCGGCTCCTGCTGCGCCACGCACCCCAGCTGAGCGCCCTGGACCTGAGCCACTGCGCCCACGTTGGGGATCCCAGTGTCCACCTCCTCACGGCCCCCACCTCCCCGCTCCGAGAGACCCTGGTACACCTCAATCTCGCCGGTAAGCGCCGTCCCTTATCTCTCCATCCTTCCAGCCTCCTGGGCCCTGTGGTCTGGATGGACCCCCGGCTCACCTTCTGGTCTCAGCTGCCGTCGCCCCACCCCCAGGTTGTCACCGCCTCACGGACCACTGCCTCCCGCTGTTCCGCCGCTGCCCGCGCCTCCGCCGTCTCGACCTGCGCTCCTGCCGCCAGCTCTCCCCGGAAGCTTGTGCCCGGCTGGCAGCCGCTGGGCCCCCTGGCCCCTTCCGCTGCCCAGAAGAGAAGCTGCTTCTCAAGGACAGCTAGTTGGGTGCCCCCCACCCCCCACCCCCTCCCAGGACTCATCAGGAGCCTGGACCTCAGGCCTTCATTTCACCCCTGCCAGGAGGCCAGGTCACCCACCTCATGACTTGGGATTCCTGAGTTTTACGACTTGGGGTTCCTGCCCAGGGACTCGAGCCAGCCTCCCCCACTCTCTACCCCCTGCACTGATATCTCTGGGGGTCTCTTCTTCCCATCCCCTCCCCCTTCCACCTGCTTCATCGACCATCCCCTGGGGGAAGCGGGTCAGAGGTACTGGGGGGCGCTGAGCCAAAGGGCTGGTGGGAGGGGGGTTGAGGTGCAGTTTGAGGGGGGGATGAATGGGGAGAGTATCTGCACACAGGATGTTGGGAGCAGGGGGCTGGGGGAGGTGGAGGATGGGCTGGGGGGTGGGGGGTGGGCAGAGAGCAGACCATCAGGGGTTCAGGGAACAAAGACCAGATACTTGGAGTTGGGGGGGTAGGGTGGGGGGGCCAAAAAGGGAAACCAGAGGAGCAATTGGGGATCCAGGTGTCAGAGATGAGGGGACTCGGGGAACCAGGGGAAAGCAACAGGGCTGAGTGAGGGGCGAGGGGCAAGAGCAGGTGCAGGGAGGGTGGTAGTAGCCCCTCGGGGTCACCCCTCTCCTTCCTCCCTCCCCGGATTTCAGTTCCTTCTCCCCAACCCTGACTCCTTGAAAGTCACTGACAATGGCAGCTATCTTGAGGAGTGGGGCCCGCGGGCCTGCCCGCTGTTCAGCGCGCCCTGGGGAGTGGTGAGGGGTACCCCAGCCCCCTACCTGCCTCCCCGCACTATACTTGAACATTCATCTGTACTGAAGTGTTACTTGAACCGGGGGAACCTCGGACCTGGGGGAGCCAGAGCTTAAGGGGACGGGACCAGCTTGGACTGAGACTGGACTGGTGGACCACCGAGTTCGGACTGGACCACCCCAGGCTCTCTTGCTTTACTGTATTGAGCAGCTCCACCCCTCCTGACCCTGAGGTGAGGGTAGGGGGTGGTGGGCCAGCCCAGTGATGGGGAAGATGGGACTCCTCCAGCTTGGCTCTTCCCACTCTTTCATCGTCATGGAACCTTGTATCCCATTTGCCCAGGGAACTGCCACTCCTGGTTGCCATGGAATTAGCAGCCAATGGACACCTCCCAAAGCCAGTGCTAAGGCTGGAAATGGCCCCTCTTAGTTGCCATGGGAACTTAGTAACGACTCTTGGCCCTCTCCTGCCCCTTCCTCTGCGGGGGCGGGGCTTTGGGAGCGAGGGGTAGGGGCAGGGGCCAGCTCCCGCCCCTCAGCCCGGGTCTCCCTGGGGAGCCAGACTGGACCTTGTTGGGGAGGGGGGAATATCCACATACCTCAGGTAACAGGGAGGTGCGCGGGTTGGGGGGAGGGACTGGGTGGACCAAAGGCCGGAGGGGAGGGGGTCCTGGGGATTCGCAGAAGGCTTGAGGATGGGGCCGCTTGGGGGAGGGGGAGGAGACAGCCCAGCGAGGGATAAGTGGGGGACCCAGCCGGGCTGGGCCCCTGGGCCCCGGGTCTGTACTATATGGTTTGCTATAAAACTCAAAATCTTCCAGCCGGGCCGCTGAGTTCGCGTGTGGTTGTCTGCGGCGTTGGGGGTGCCGGGGGTGGGGGTTAGGGGAGATGACCCGCGTATTCTTTGAGGGTCTGGGAGGACGGGGCTCTTTGGATGAGTCTAGGGGACCTAAGGTCTAAGTGGACCTCCAGAAATTGAGGCTTCAGGACCTCCTGCGGTCTTCAGGGTGAGATGGGGGTGTCACTTCCCCTGAGTTCACTGTTCAGGTGAGGGTTAGGAGTCTGGACGTTCGAGGTGTGCAGGTGTACCTGGAGTGGTCCAGGATCCGGAACTCCCAGTCACTGGGGCTCGGCGTTCATAACAGCGGGTTGAGGCACCCAGAGGACATCCTAGGTGGACTGGGGTCTCGGGGTCCCTTGGGATCTCTGTCCACGGTCCCCCGGCTCCACCCCATCATGTGGCCGCCTCAGCTCCGCCTCCGCCCCAGTTCCTGTTTCGGCCTCGGCTTCAGCCCCTAGGGCTCCCCGCAGTCGCCTGCTCTTCCTGCTCCGCCCGGGCCACGTCTTCCTGGGAGCTCGCCGCCCGCATCCCCGCTCGTCCCGCCGGGGCATGGGGCCTTCCCCAGACCTGGGCCCGCCCTGCTGGGGCTCCAGAGGCGACTCGGCCCCGCCTTGACGGACTAGCCCGCTTGGTGCCGCAGCCCCAGGATGAAGGGCGGCGAGGGGGACCCGGGCGAACAGGCCCCGCTGAACCCGGAGGCCGAGAGCCCCGCGGGCTCGGCCACGTACCGGGAGTTCGTGCATCGCGGCTACCTGGACCTCATGGGGGCCAGTCAGCATTCGCTGCGGGCGCTCAGCTGGCGCCGCCTCTACCTCAGCCGGGCCAAGCTCAAAGCCTCCAGCCGCACGTCTGCCCTGCTCTCGGGCTTCGCCATGGTGAGGGGAGGGAAGGGGCGCGCAGGGTGGGGGTGAAGCCCATGGCGGGGAACGGGGGTCGGAGGCAAGGTGAACAGGTACCTAAGGGAGACAGGACCGAGGAGTGGGAAAGACCGGTCTTTCAAAGGGAGAAGTGGGGGGGGAGCAAACAAGGTCCCAAGGGACCACACAAGTCTTGTAATGGGTGTGGGGGTGGTTCCTAGCATAAGCTGGGCCCGGGGAGGATAAGCAAATTCTAAACATGTCACTGGGGACACACATCACGGGGGATACATATGCAAGGACAGAGCACAGAGCTCCCCGAAGGGACAGAATCCGGCAGAAGTGGTTTCTGGGTTCCCACCACAGGCTCAACAGCAAATCCAAGCTAGTTGAGGGGCTGAAGGATGACCTCAAGGATGCAGGGGGTGAGAATAAACTGGATGGAGCGGTCACCCAACAGAAAGAGGGTGGCCAGGCCCTAGCAGACATGAAGGGTGCTTACTGGTGGCCTGGGAAAGCTCTGAGAAGATACCTGTGAGGGAGTCTCAGGAGAAAGCTGTCTAGGAAGCCTGATGCACGATTCTGGAGATGATAAACTCCAAGTGTGGGCAGATGATAATCAGCTAACGGTCCAGCAGAGGCCTCACAGGAAGCAGGCTGAGGGAGGTCCCAGGGTGAGGAGACGTCAGCAGACACAGGTCCTAGCTCCTTCCTGCCTGTGGCCAGCTGGATGACCCTGGACAGGCCTCCGCACTGCCCCCGACCACCATCGCCGGCCAGTGGGAAATTGTGAGATCATGGAAGGGCGCGCCCTCTGTAGCTTGCCAGGGAGCCACCCCAAGATGAGCTGATTCTTGTCATCAGATCCTGGATCCAGGCACGTCAGAGCAAGACTCGCATCAGAATGGCTGAGACTCCCTGTTGATGGAAACTGAGGCCCAGAGTGGGGCGGTGGCCCTGCCAGAGCTCGCACCAGCTGAAGGGTACAGGAGGAACTGAGACCCAGGGTCACTGGACTGTTCATCCAGGATGTCCTATCATCATGACAGGAAAAAGGAGAAAATGGGCTGGAGAGGGGTCCTCATGGAAACATGAGGGGGATATCAAGATGGGGATAAAAGGGGCCATAGCCCTGGGTGATTTGAGTTAGTCCCTGCCCCTCTCTGTGTCACAGCCTCTGTATTTGGATGACTGGTGGGAATACTTCTATCCCTAAGGGTCATCCTTAGGTCTATGGTTTTCTATGTGAGGGTCCTGGATCCACAGGCCAGCTCACCCTGCCCGATGTGGGGTCTTCTCAGGAGAGGGAATGCTCCCCTTCACCTGTACAGACTGCAGAGAAAGGGGAGCAGCCCTGGGGACCCAGCTGAGGGAGTTGCCCCACCCCCATCCCCCCATGGTCCAGCGTGTTCCCAAGGAGACAATCCCACCTGCTGCTGAACTTGCAGGTTGCTGAGGTGACAGCTTAAGGGACAAGACCTTCTCTGCAGGATCAACAGACCAGATGAGTAGGTTCTGGGGGCTAGACTGGCCCCAGTCCTGTCGGGTGAGCAAGGTTGAATCAGGCTCCGGAAGAGACCAAGACTGGGCCTGGCCCAGATTGCTGTCTGTGGAAAACTCCTGCTAACATCCGCTGTGGCCCAATTTCCCAAAATACTCAGCCTTGCCTTCCTACTGCCACCCTCCTGGCCCTGCAGTTTCCTCCTTGCCCCAGCCCAGAGCCATCTAATGGATCCTGCAAGAACCAGGCCTGGGGAAAGAACCTGATCCTGGACTTCAGGTGACCTGGGTTAGAATAACATTATATAAATTGTATTGAACCGTCACTACCAGGCACTATGCTTAAGGCTTTAATGTGTATTATCTTCCTATCACCCTACAAATTGGGTACTACTACTAAGACTATTTTATAAATGAGAAAACTGAGGATCAGAAATATTAAGACCTGCCTATGGTTCCACAGCAAGTAAGTGGCAGGATTTGAATTTAGTCAGTTTAGCTCTAGAATCCAAATTTATACAACCCTAGAACAAGATCATCAACTCAAATATGTGCAAAGACCACACAGGTGGTAATGGATGTCAAGTTGGCTGGGTGGGGACTGTGGCTTTCAAGAGACCCTCATTACCTGTGCCAAGGGAGCAGCCATGACTCAACTCTGACTGATAGTTGCCATGCAGGAATATGGGCCTGGTGTAATCAGATCCTCCAAATTTCCAGGAGGATCTGGAAATAGGGATATTTACATGAAATCTCTTGAGTTTTAGAAGTTGGCAACAATTCTTTAAAAAAAAAAAAAATGCACCGTCTGAGCCAAGCAAAACATGTTTGCAAGCTGGCTTGGGTTGTGGTGTGCCAGTTTGCAAACTCTGGCCTTGGACTTCAGTGTTAACTCTAATAATAACAGCAAACATTTACTTGAGCATACTATGTACCTCACACTATTCTTATCACTTGATGTATCTCTAGATGTATCATTAAATTTTCACAATAACCCTATAAGGCAGGTAGGTGCTGTTATCAATCCCTGTTTTCCAGATGAGGAAAGGGAGGCACAGAGAAAACTAAACCACTTGCTCAAGATTACACAGTTTGTACAACTGAAAATGAGCCCATGCACCCCCACTCTAGAATCTGTGCTTTTTTTAACCCCTATTTTTTTAAAAGTGAAAATGATGTGCATCTTTAAAAAAATTATCTTAAACCTATTTCACTGCATTGGGTCTTAGTTACAGCACACTGGACATATTGCTGCCCACAGACTCTCCATTTGCAATTTGTGGGCTTAGTTGTTCCAAGGCATGAGGGATCTTAGTTCTCCCTCCAGGGATTGAGCCCATGTACCCTGCCTTGCAAGGCAGATTCTTAATCACTGGACCATCAGGGAAGTCCTGGGTCCCTATGTTATAAAAGATAAGATGGTCAGAAACATGCCATCCAACCCTCTAGTTCCCCCCCAGGCGGGGAAATCAAGGTCTGGAACAGGACAGAGCCTTGCCAAGGTTGTCCATCTATTCACTTACAGCATGGGGGCCTTCTTTGTACCAAGCACTGCTATGGCTCTTAGGGATACATCAGTGATGTACAGGCCAAAAAACCTTTTACTGTTGAGGTTACGGCCACTCAACCCGTCCCCTCTTGTCCCCACAGGTGGCCATGGTTGAGGTACAGCTGGAGAGAAACCACGAATACCCGCCGGGCCTCCTGGTGGCCTTCAGTGCCTGCACCACCGTGCTGGTGGCTGTGCACCTCTTTGCACTCATGGTCTCCACCTGTCTGCTGCCTCACATTGAAGCTGTTAGCAACATCCACAACCTCAACTCGGTCCACCAGTCTCCACACCAGCGACTCCACCGCTACGTGGAGCTGGCCTGGGGCTTCTCCACTGCCTTGGGCACCTTCCTTTTTCTGGCTGAAGTTGTCCTAGTTGGCTGGGTCAAGTTTGTGCCCATCGGGGCCCCCTTGGGCACATCAGGCTCAATGGGACCTGCCTCCCAGCTGCCTGAGACTCTGCCGCCAGTGGCCACCTCCCTTAGTCCAGCTTCCAAGCCATCGTCCACTTCTGTAGCCCCGTCACAGGCCGAGCCCCCTGAGGCCTGCCCCCCACGGCAAGCGTGTGACGGTGGTGCGGCCCATGGACCAGGTTGGCAAGCCGCCATGGCCTCCACGGCAATCATGGTACCTGTAGGACTAGTGTTTGTGGCCTTCGCCCTGCATTTCTACCGCTCCTTGGTGGCTCACAAGACCGACCGCCACAAGCAAGAGCTAGAGGAGCTGAGTCGCCTGCAGGGGGAGCTTCAGGCTGTGTGAGGCTGGTGTTAGCCCAAGGCTGAGAGCACTGCCTCCCCCGGAGCTCAGTCAGAGGCCCTGGATCTACCAACCCCATTCTGTGGCCCTGCCTGCAGCCACTTCCTGTGGCCACTTTCAGGTAGAGACCAGATTCCTGCCCTCAGAGTCCTTCGGGCTGGACCTTGGGGCAGCTCCCACATTCCCAGGGATTGTCCCTGTCTAGTCTGTCCCATGGGTTTTAGAAGCTCTACTCTACATGCAGGGGGCTGGGAGGAGCATGAGAGTTAAGTGGAAGGTCCTCGGTCCAAGTTCCTGCGGTAGGTAGAGGGGAGGCAGGGAGACCCTGGTCAGACCTTCGGTGCTGTTAGCCACTTGCCCCCATACAGAATGAGAATGTCAGGATACATGCCCACCCAGTTGCCCCAGAAGGCAGCCAATCCTTATTTTACTTTTGTAGAATCTGTTTTATGGTTGGCTTTTTTTTTTTTTTTTGAAGCTTTCCCCCATCCTCAGATTTTGATTTCTACGCTCTCGCTTTGGCATTTGGGTAGAGAGGGATTTAGGTGTTTCTCCCCCAGGCACAGGTACAGCCTTTCCAAGTCTCCCTATTTGGAGGAGGTTCAAATGCCTGCCACACTGCCCTAGACACACACTCATGCTTCTATAACTGATTCCTACTCTCCTGGTCCAGGGCTGGGGGGCCGTGCACCAGCCTGACTCCCTAGCAAGGATTGGGGTGATAAGGGAGAAGGTCCATTCCATAGCCCTTAGAATACAGAACTATTCTGACACTGAATTTTTGATGCACCTAGTTTTGTATAATAAATTGTGTTTTACACATGTCGCTGTGGCTGTGAATGGAGTGAAGAGGAGGCCTCCTCGGGAACAGGGACTTGTTCTTATGAGCCAAGTGGAGGCAAGTGTCCCTGGGGGCAGGGTAGGGGTGGAGGAGAGAAGGTTCCAGGCTTGACTCCCTTCTAGTGCTGACAGGGCCCAGTAGCTTCTGAGTGTGGAGACTGAGTTAGGCTAAAGGGTTTTGCAATCTTGCTACTGAGTCCAGGGTCTCTATCTCTTCCATTGAACATGGGAGTGAAAAGGCTGTTTTAAAACTCAACATTTAAAAAACTAAGACCATGGCATCCAGCCCCATCATTTCTTGGCAAACAGAAGAAAAGTGGAAACAGTGATAGATTTTCTTTCCTTGGCCTCCAAAATCACTGCAGACAGTGACTGCAGCCATGAAATTAAAAGAAACTTGCTCCTTAGAAGGAAAGCTATGACAAACCTAGACAGCATATTAAAAAGCAGAGTCATCATTTTGTCAACAGAGGTCCGTATAGTCAAAGCTATGGTTTTTCCAGTTGCCACGTGTGGATGCAAGAGTTGAAGGCTAAGTGCTGAAGAACTGACGCCTTCGAATTGTGGTGCTGAAGAAGATTCCTGAGAATCCCTTGGACTGCAAGTAGATCAAATCAATCAACCCTAAGGAAATCAACCCTGAATATTTATTTATTGGAAGGACTGATGCTGAAGCTGAAGCTTCAGTTCTTGGCCACCTGACGTGAAGGGAAAGGCAGTGGAAAAGGCCCTGATGCTGGGAAAGATTGAAGGCAACAGAAAAAGGGGCAGCAGAGGGACGAGATGGTTAGAGAGCATCACCAACTCAATGGATGTGAATTTGAACAAACTCCGGGAGATCGTGAAGGACAGGGAAGCATGGCATGCTGGAGTCCATGTGGTTGCAAAGAGTCGGACACAACTTAGCAACTGAACAACAACATAAGTTCCTTTAAGTTTCTTTCTTGAGTAACTACTACATACTAGGGGCTTCTCATAGGTCATCTTATTTAGCCTATTTAACTGATTTATTACCTCAAGAGACAAGTCTTTATGGGACTATTTCAGAGATATGGAAGCCTCAACCTAAGAAGGTTGAGGATCTTTCCAAAAGCCACACAGCCAGTCAGGGAAAACTTGGACCACCTTTACTATCACAAGGGGAATCTTTCGCTTGAGAAAAGGAGTATCTTTCAACTAGGACCAGAGAAAGAATCTGATTTCATAACCCCTGTTTCCACTGTAAATTTATTTCTTCAGCCTCATTTTCCTTAAATTTGTAAAGGGTCCTAAGCCTCTCCCAGAAGGATTCTTTTGGTGTTGAGATTTTGGACAAATCGCTTTTCCTATTCCTTAAAATGGTGAATTTACATGAACCAGGCCTCAGGGGCCTTTCCTGCACTGTTTTAATGCCTACAATAGTTCTGCATAACAGTAATTAACATCTATTTTCAGAGGAAGAATCTGAAGCTTTATGAAGTTAATGACTTGCGCAAGGTCATACATCTAGAAGTCTGGAACTTAGGGCATCCCCTCAGCTCTGACAGTGCCTGGGAGTGCCATTACCCTGAGACCAAGATACCTGCGTCCCAAGCCTAAGTGGGTGCCCAGTATCAGGGCGACCTCAGCCCAAGTCTCAGGTTTAAGCCTGGGCTGGTGCTGCCCTCGAGCGGCGGGACTGTGTAAGCGAGGCGGGGCAGAGATTTGCACAACTAAAAACGGCGGGCACTGGGACCATGATAATCTGGGAAATCGACCAGCCCACACTAGTTCAAGTACGACCGAATTTACAGGACGGGTTCAAGATCCTTTAGGACCCACCTTTATCACATAACTTTGACACAGACTAAGATTTAATCACTAATGGCGGGCTAGTACAGGCAAAGCGCGGCACCCTCTGACGGCCTCAGTGTCCCCCATCTGTCAAATGGGCATCTTAATGAGCTGCCCAAAGAGGATAATGGGAGGAAAACGTTCCCTGCAATACGTGCGGCGCCAAACGGCCTGAGTCACCATTATTGGTGGTATTTTTCCATCTCCTGGGCGCCCCTCCTACCCCGCCCGGGTTTCCGAGGGTCCTACAGGAAGCGCCCCGGCGACGCCGGGCTCCGCACGCTGACCACGCCCTCTGTGCGCGGAGCCTTGGCCCCGCCCACTAAAGAATTCGCAGATTCGCTAGGCCGGCTCCTCCTCCGAATTTCTCCGGCCCTTCCATACTCGGCTGAAAATTCTCATCGGACTCCGTAACCATTTCCCCCAGGTCGGATCTGAGCAGTCCTCTGAATTGTGATAGTAAGAAAGATCCAGGAAAAGTGGCTGACTCTGCCAACAGGGCTTGGCTAACCAGGCATTATTTTCTTGACTCCACCAAGGCTGGTGAAGGGAGGCAACAGCTGAGGCCAGGACTTGTGGCGAATCTGCAGCCTTTCAGACATTTGGTCGCTTAAGGAAGGGGCAGGAAAGAGGAGCAAAGGAGCGCGCATCCTGTCTACCGATTCGCCCCGCCCGCCTGACGAATCTGCGCCTGTTCAACGCGCCACTCAAATCTCCCCAGCTCTGGCTGGCCTCCTCCCCTTCGCCCCGCCCCCTTTTCCTCTGGGATTAGTCGCTGCTTTCAACGCCGCCGATTCGTCAAGGATCCCAGGCCAGAGCAGCTGGATAGTCGTGGTGAAGTCCACTCTCCGGGGGATGCGGCCAAACTCTAGGCTCACTGGGCCGCAACTCTTGAGCTTCATAGGCCGCCGGCCGAGGCGAAACCGCTATCCTCGGCCCCGTGGGTCTCCCGGAGTCGCCCGTGGCGAAAGTGCGAATGTAGAAGCTGTGCCCGCTGGGCCTCGCGCAGGTGGCGGTGGTGTTTGGTGCGCGCGCCGGGGAGGTGGTGGTGGGGGGGCGCCGCCGCCGCCACCGCTGCGGGGCCGGGTCTCGCGCTGTCGCCGCCGCCGCCGCCGCCGCCTCGCGCCGCTGAGGTGCCGCGCGGGGTGGGGGGAGGGGGAGCCGCTCGCCGCGAGCGGGTGAGTGGGGCCGCGCCGCGCGTGCGCGGAGATGGGGGGGGGCAGAACGCGCCGGGGCGGGAGGAGAGGGCAGCGGCGCGCGTTTCCCCCACCCCCCGCCCGGATTCAGGGCCGAAGCCGGGTCTCAGTCTCGGTCTCGCGGCGTTTCCAACGCCCCGAAGAGGTGCCACTTCTTGACGAGAGGATCGGGGCGCGGGGACGGGAGCGGGTGTGTGGGAGCGGGAGCCGGGCTTGGCCTGGGCCGCTGGCCGGTGAGGAGGCGGGAGGGGGCGGGGCCTGCCAGGGGGCGGGGGAGGGGTCTTGCGCGGAGGCCAAGTGGGGCGCGCGCTAGGGAGAGCGGGAAGGTAAGGGGGCGCGAGATGGGCCTGGGGGCCAGAGGGGAGAGTTGGGAGGTGGAGAGAGGATGGGGTGTTATGGTGAAAGAAGGTACTTGTGAGAAAATATGGGGGAGCCTCCAGTCATGGTGAGTGAGGTATGGAAACTGAGGTGATGAGAGTTACCTGGATTCGGGGCTAGTCAGTGAGGGGCAGCAAGGGAGTTGGGCCTAAGTCGTGACCCGTTTGCTTATCCCTCTTTCCTCACAGTGTAAATGAGCAAAGATGGATCAGGAAGGTGGGGGAGATGGGCAGAAGGCCCCGAGCTTCCAGTGGCGGAACTACAAGCTCATCGTGGATCCTGCCTTGGACCCTGCCCTACGCAGGCCTTCTCAAAAGGTGTACAGATATGATGGAATCCACTTTAGTGTCAACGTGAGTGTCCCAGGCCTTCCCCAGATCTAGGGAACTCAAACCCGATCTTCTCTGTTACCTCTGCTCATCACCTAGAACCTGTCTTCTTTAAAGTGGACAACCAGAACCCAGCTCTTTTGCTCGTGGGACTCCAGAGGGGCTGTAGAGATCAACACTGTGGTTTCACCTTGAGCTGTCTCTCTGTTCCTGATTATTTTCCTAGGACTCAAAGTATATACCAGTGGAGGACCTCCAAGACCCCCGTTGCCACGTCAGGTCCAAAAACAGAGACTTTTCCCTCCCAGTCCCTAAGTTTAAGGTACGTTTCTGCTAGTCTCCTGGTGTGGTGGCCCTTGGAGGGTGTGGAGGATCCATCCTGGTAGTCTAGTCTTAATGTAGCATAGGGAAAGGGGGTTTTCCTAGTGAAAGACTCTAATAACAGATTTAATCTCTGAGGCTATGAGACTGAGTTGTTGTGGACAGGAGGTGTGTTTATTTTCTAGAAAGGTATAGGTTAGGTGTCTCAAAAAGGGTGTTAACTTTTTGAAGGGTGAAGACAGGTCTAGCTGCTACACCAATCACTGTGTACTTCTAGACTGTCCATAGTAAAATAGTATCCTGTGTGTTACCCCAATTTCTCAGTTAAGGGGAGTGACAGCGCCAGGGACTCCATCCCTGGAGTCCTCTGTTCCTCTCGCTTACTCTGTCTTTTTTCCTCAGAGGATCCCCATGTCTCTTGTCCAGGCAGGGTACTCATCACTCCTTGGAGGACTGGATCTAGAAAACTGGTGGTTCTTAATCTCCTTTGTTAACTCTTTATTCTTCCATTTTAATAAGTCACTTGTGGGGTTCCCACATCCCTCTTTTTTCACTTTGTATACTTTTCCTGGACAATGTCTTTCCCATCCACAACTTTGACTAGTACTGAAGTGTTGATGACTTCCAGATCTCTTGAAACTCCAGACTTATTTGCCTGGTGGAGGGACAGCTCCATCTGGAGGCCCCACAGAAATTTCAAGCTCAGGAGATGTAAAATAATTACCTTCACCCGCTTGTCCTGCTTTTCTTTCCATTTTCCTTTTGCTATTGAATGGCAACATCGTGTACTCAGCTGGACAAGCTAGAAACCTGGGTGTCATCCTATGATTCTTCTGTCCTTAATCTGTCACCAAGTCGTGCTGACTCTTTTTCTAAACACATCTCTTTTTTTTTTTTTTCATTAATTTTTCTATTTCTGTTCCCATTCCTTTAATACAGAGTCTTATGTTCATTTCCCCTGATTTCCTTGCCTCTGTTCTCTTCTCCATTTATTGCTGTCATTTGTCTCTTTGGTTTTACTGTCATCTTATTTTATTTTTGTTGGCAAGTCCTCATTTTTTGTGCATTGGCATGTATGATTACTAGTCTGGCCAGCCTCATCTCTTGCCTTGATGGTGCATACTTGTGTTCTCTCATACTGTGTGCTTTGGAGTTTCTAGGCAATGCCAAGTTATTTTATAGTCATGTGCCCTACAGGTCCTGTCATTATGGTGAGCTCCTGATTATCCGAAAAGTCCAGTATGAATGACACCACCTTTGTGAATTTTTTCCTGCCTCCTCTCTGAGCAAAGGTTTCGTTCTCTGGGCTCCCAAACACCCTGTCCTACGCCTTTGTTGACACTTGTTGGGTCATGTTGTGATTGTGTGTGTCTGTTTGTCCTGTCTACTTTTCTTCATAAAACTCTGTTTTCTCCATCTTTGTATTCCTAGTGCCCGTTCTTGGGAATCACTTAGTGAAAGCTGAGCTAGTGAATTATTTCCATATAACTGGTTCCTTCTATGAATGTTTAGTTCTCACTTTGTACATTTCTTTTTCTGGTTCTTGCCATCATTCTGTGCAGAGAATTCAGGGAAGAGAGGGGTCAGGACAGATGTATCCTTTGTTGGGACCCCCTTCCCCATCCCCTTGCCTCTTGATTTCCCCATTCTCTCCCTCTTAGCCTCATGGATCTCACTAAAGTTTCCCAATGGGGCAAGGCGTGGTGATCAGTAGTGAGACCCCAGACTTAACTCCTGTCCCCTCCACAGCTGGATGAGTTCTATATCGGACAGATCCCACTGAAAGAGGTGACATTTGCAAGGCTGAATGACAACGTGCGGGAGACCTTCCTGAAGGACATGTGCCGAAAGTATGGTGAGGTGGAAGAGGTGGAGATTCTTCTCCACCCCCGTACTCGCAAGCACCTGGGCCTGGCCCGCGTGCTCTTCACCAGCACTCGGGGAGCCAAGGAAACAGTCAAAAACCTCCACCTTACCTCCGTCATGGGCAACATCATCCATGCCCAGCTCGACATCAAAGGTGAGGGCTCCTTCACCTGCTGCCCAGGGTTGGGCTCTGACGGAGATGGTACGCACAAATGCCTCTTGGGGCCTGGCAAGTAGTCAGGTCTGTGATTTCTCCTCTGAAACTCTTGGGCCACGTGTTTCTTTTTTTAATTTTTTTTCCCACATGTTTCTTATATCAGAATTTTAAAGAGAGATTATGGTATAGGTACGGGCCTTTGTGTGTTGTCTCTGGCAGGGTTGGGGCAGCTATGGTTTAGTGTATGACTGTATTTTGTGAGAAACAGTCTGAAGAGTCACACTGCGTAGGATGAATAAAAATGATGATAAATAGCCTCAGGTCAGGTTTGGGCACCAAGTTCTAAAAAACACTGGGTTTTGAGTTTTTCTGGTTTTCAAATTTTAGATGGAGAATTAGGGGCGTATATAGGTGAGTGATGGGCTTCCTTGGTAGCTCAGATGGTAAAGAATCTGCTTGCAATGTGGGAGATCCGGTTTTGATCCTGGATTGGGAAGATCCCTTGGAGAAGGGAATGGCAACCCACTCCAGCATTCTGCCTGGGGAATTCCATGGGCAAAGGAGTCTGGTGGACTACAGTTCATAGGGTCCTAAAGAGTCAGACACGACCGAGGGACTAAGCAGCAGCAGCTTAGGTGAGTGAAGCAGCCTGGACTTCTGTGCTAAGTAGCGGTAGGGAGGGGTGGGGACTGGCAGCTGTGGCATCTGAAGGTGCTAGCTATTAGCTGACACTAGCCAATTTGTACATGGGGATGAAGACTAGCAGGTTTTTTTTTAAGCCCAAAATCTAGTTTTTTGTGTCAAATCTCGTGGGTTTTGTTTTTGTTTAAAATATTTATTTATTTGGCTGTACCCGGGTCTTAGTTGCAGCATGCAGGATCTTTAGTTGTGGCATACAAACTCTTTGCTGCAGCATGTAGGATCTAATTCCCTGACCAGGGATCAAACCCGGGCCCCCTGCCTTGGGAATGCATAGTCTTAGCCACTGGACCACTGGGGAAGTCCCAAACTAGTGGGTTTCTCCCTCACCCTTCCCAATACATTAAGTGACTGTGTAGGGCAAATAAATCACAACGGTGGGCTGAGTTTAACCTTCAGGCTGCCATCATACTGCGGTAGTTAATAGGACGAAGAGGATGGTGGGGTCCAGCTTGAGATGACTGGGTTTGAATTCAGGTTTCACCATTCTGTGCAGGTCAGTTTCCTCTAAGCTTGTACAACAGAGTTATGGATGCTTTTCTCTGCTGGTGATTGTCGAACATAGTAGCAGAAGTTAGAAGTATTTTTGTAAACTATTAAGGGTCACTTGATACGTTGTTTGTAGTAGCTACCAAGTAGAGACTAGGTAGCAGAACTTAAAGGCCCTAGACTCCAGGAAATCTTAGCAAATTGAGGCCTGAGAAAAAAGTGGGAATACAAAATCTGAAAGGAGTTGTTTCCTCCATCTGACTTTGTCGGTTCCCATTCTCTTCCATCCAGGTCAACAGCGAATGAAATACTATGAACTGATAGTCAACGGCTCCTACACCCCTCAGACGGTGCCCACTGGGGGCAAGGCCCTGAGTGAGAAGTTCCAAGGCTCTGGTGCAGCCACAGAGACGGTGAGAAGCTCATAGTTGGTGATGCCCTCACCCTACGGGCTTGGTACTTAGACGCCAGGGGCAGGCTTTGGGCAGTTCTGGACTTCACTGTTAAAGTATTAGAAGAGCCAAAGAAAGGACGCCTCACTGCTTTCCAAAGTAGGGGGTTGGGGTTCCTGGTTTGGTGAAGGTCATGTTGTCAAATGGTGCTTGATCTCTTCTCGTTTCTCCCTGCCACACTCTCTCCCCCCAGACTGACTCCCGCCGCCGCTCCTCGTCCGACACAGCTGCCTTCCCGGCGGGCTCGGCTGTGGTGGGCACTCCTGGCAATGGCACCCCCTGCTCCCAGGACACAAGCTTCTCCAGCAGCCGACAGGACACCCCGTCTTCCTTCGGCCAGTTCACCCCTCAGTCCTCCCAAGGAACCCCCTACACGTCTCGGGGAAGCACCCCCTACTCTCAGGACTCTGCCTACTCCAGCAGGTGCAGCGGAAAGCCCGTCTGGGACCCTCAGATGCGGGGAGCTGCCTGGGAAGAAGGAACCCAAAGTCTCAAAGAGGGAGTTGGGAATAATTGGTCTTGGTTCCTTGTGGATTCAGCCAACACACCCCGTCCTCGGGGAATTTACTCTGTGACTAGGAGCCCAACAGCCATTAGATCTCCCTTTGGGGGCAGTGTAGAGGGCTTTGGGTCCTGATGGCTGGGGCAGTGGGGTTTGGTCATACAGAGCTGACTCCACTAACCGCTGCACGTTTCCTCCAGCACCACTTCAACCTCCTTCAAGCCCCGGAGGTCAGAGAACAGCTACCAAGATTCTTTCTCCCGCCGCCATTTTTCCGCCTCTTCGGCCCCCACGACCACCTCTGCCGCCATCTCCGCCACCACTGCAGCCACCGCCGCCGCCGCCTCCTCTTCTTCCTCCTCGTTGTCTTCGTCCTCTTCGTCGTCCTCTTCTTCCTCATCCTCTCACTTTCGCGGTTCGGATTCAAACTTCCCAGCGTATTACGAAAGCTGGAATCGCTACCAACGCCATGCTTCCTACCCACCCCGCCGGGCAACTCGGGATGAGCCCCCTGGGGCCTCTTTTGCTGAAAATACCGCTGAGCGCTTCACGCCATCTTACACCTCCTACTTGCCCCCCGAGCCCAACCGGCCTGCTGACCAGGACTACCGGCCTCCTGCCTCCGAAGCTCCGCCCCCAGAGCCTCCAGAACCTGGTGGAGGGGGAGGCGGCGGGGGGCCCAGCCCTGAGAGAGAAGAAGCTCGAACCTCCCCGCGCCCAGCCTCACCTGCCCGTTCTGGCTCCCCAGCCCCAGAGACCACCAACGAGAGCGTGCCCTTTGCTCAGCACAGCAGCCTGGATTCCCGCATTGAGATGTTGTTGAAGGAGCAGCGTTCCAAGTTTTCCTTCCTGGCCTCTGACACCGAGGAAGAGGAAGAGAATAGCAGCACGGGCCCCGGGGCTCGGGACACAGGGAGCGAGGCCCCCTCTGGGCCAGGTCACGGGCCCTGCACACCCCCTCCAGCCCCGGCAAGTTTTGAGGATGTGGCACCTACAGGGAGTGGGGAACCAGGAGCTACCCGGGAGTCGCCCAAGGCCAACGGACAGAGCCAGGTGAGTTTGGGGTCTGCCCACGGAAGTGCCTGGGATCTGGGAGAGCAGGCTTGGGCCCAGGGGGAGAAGGATGGGAACTGGGCAAGGGAACAGAGCTTTGGGGAAAGTCCACAGAACTGGTGGTAGCCTCCTGTGACCGTCCTCTGCGCCCCACAGGCTTCTCCATGCTCTTCTGGAGAGGACATGGAAATCTCCGACGACGACAGGGGCGGCTCACCCCCTCCGGCCCCAACACCCCCCCAGCAACCTCCGCCCCCTCCGCCGCCGCCTCCCCCACCCCCTCCTTACCTGGCTTCCCTTCCTCTTGGTTATCCTCCCCACCAGCCTGCCTACCTCCTCCCCCCGCGACCCGATGGGCCGCCACCTCCTGAGTACCCCCCTCCTCCTCCACCACCCCCCCACATCTATGACTTTGTGAACTCTTTAGAGCTCATGGATCGACTCGGGGCTCAGTGGGGAGGAATGCCCATGTCCTTCCAGATGCAGACCCAGATGTTAACTCGGCTCCACCAGCTGCGGCAGGGCAAAGGATTGACCGCAGCTTCAGCGGGTCCCCCCGGTGGGGCCTTTGGGGAGGCCTTCCTCCCATTCCCACCCCACCAAGAGGCAGCCTACGGCCTACCATATGCTCTGTACGCCCAAGGGCAAGAAGGCCGAGGGGCATACTCTCGGGAGGCCTACCACCTGCCTTTGCCCATGGCAGCCGAGCCCCTGCCCTCCTCAGTCTCAGGAGAAGAGGCACGGCTGCCCCCCCGGGAGGAAGCAGAGCTGGCCGAGGGCAAGGCCCTACCATCGGCAGGCACCGTGGGCCGTGTACTAGCCACCCTGGTCCAGGAGATGAAGAGCATCATGCAGCGAGACCTCAACCGCAAGATGGTGGAGAATGTGGCCTTTGGAGCCTTTGACCAGTGGTGGGAGAGCAAGGAAGAGAAGGCCAAGGTGAGGGCCAGTGCCTGGGACTGGAGAGACCAGGGCTCCATTGGTGGAAATAGACCTCTGGCTTCTTCAGGCTTCACAGCTTAGAAAAGAGAGGTGGTCAGGACGAGTGGAGAGACTAGGCGCTCAGTGGTCCATAGAGCTGAGCACAGGGGAGTTGGAGGGTACACATAACAGTAGAAAAGGCAGGAGTCAGAAGAGTCAGAAGAGCTTTGTCCTGGTTCCACCACTGCCTTGCTGTAGACAAAGCCCTTAAATCTCTCCGGGCTTCACTCTGCAGTGTCTCCATTTGTGGAGTGGAAGTAATAGCAGCAGCTCTGTGAGGTTGATAGACGGAGTGAGCGGACTTTTGAGAAGGTGCCTGTACGGGGGCTGGTGGAGGGAGGTGTGGCGTAGATGTGTGTCAGATGGAGAAATGAGTGGACGCCTTTCTCTATTCCTGGGGCCTGGGAGTATTTCTCAGGCAGGAGGGAGCACCTGGGCTCTGGGGCTCAGTCTCCCTACTGCCTGCAGCCATTCCAGAATGCAGCTAAACAGCAAGCCAAGGAGGAGGATAAAGAGAAGACAAAGCTCAAAGAGCCAGGCCTGCTGTCCCTCGTAGACTGGGCCAAGAGTGGCGGTACCACCGGCATTGAAGCCTTTGCCTTTGGATCAGGACTGCGAGGGGCCCTGCGGCTGCCTTCTTTCAAAGTACCCAGAACTATGATCTTGCCTCGTTGGGTGGGGAGAGAGTTGAAAGCGGAGTTCCCTTCCTTAGAATAAGGGTGGTTGGGAACCATGAGTGTTTGGGTTTTAAACGGCCCCATCTCTTTTCATCTTGTAGGTAAAGCGAAAAGAGCCTTCAGAAATTTCAGAGGCCAGTGAGGAAAAGAGGCCCCGGCCTTCTACTCCAGCTGAGGAAGATGAAGATGGTGAGTAGGTCAGGTGAAGGAAAAAGGGGGAAACAGTCTGCTTAGATTCTGATGGCCTTCCCTGGTGGCTCAGATGGTAAAGAATCTGCCTACAGTGCGGGAGACCTGGGTTGGATCCCTGGATCGGGAAGATTCCCTGAAGAAGGGGATGGCTACCCAGCATTCTTGCCTGAAGAATTCCGTGGACAGAGGAGCCTGCAGGCTGTAGATTCTGATAGAAAAGCAAGAGGCAGGGGTGAAGGGGGTGAAGGTGTCTTGAGGGCAAGAAGCCAAGTGAAGATTTGAAACAAAGTTATAATAAAGTAGCTCTTTGAGATGTGAATTTAGATAGGCTGTCCATCCAAAGTTACCATCTAATGCTTAAGCATGCTTGCACCCTTCTTAACGTCTGTCTAAGTCTGAGCTATATAGCTTGACAGCTTCCGTGGCTGGGAAGCTTCCTTACTAAATCTGATCTGCTTCCCTGGAGACCTGTTGACTTTAGTACGACTTTATTGGGCCAGATATTGAAAGAAATCACCTCCCTCTTTCACCCAGCCCAGAAGAGGATGAAAGATAAATGGGTTCAGTGTGTCTAAACTGTGTGAAGTGTGAAGGAACTCTGCAGTTTGTGTGTTTCTCTGCTGAGCCTCAGCTTCTTGTCTATAAACAAGGTTGTGTGGTGGGACTGTAAGAAAGGCCGGTGGTGTGTGCAGAGTTCCTTTCACCAGATGGGGCTGTTACTGCTGGTGGTAAATTGCACTACCTACCCCTCTTCTGGGCCTAGATGCTGAGCGAGAGAAGGAGGTTGGAGAGCCAGGCCGTCCGGGGACCAAGCCCCCAAAACGAGATGAAGAGCGAAACAAGAGCCAGGGCAAGCACCGCAAGTCCTTTGCTTTGGACAGCGAGGGGGAGGAGGCATCCCAGGAGTCCTCCTCAGAGAAGGTGAGGAGCCGGCGCTCTGAGTTCCTGCCGCCATAGCCGGCTTCTCTCTGCGCTGGAGCCCCGGTGGCCACGCTTCCTAGAGCACCAGTTGTCCTTCTCCTGTTAATTCCAAGTTATCCCTTTCCTTAAGGATGAGGAGGATGAAGAGGAAGATGAAGAAGATGAAGAGCGTGAGGAAGCCATGGATACTGCAAAGAAGGAGACAGAAGCATCAGACGGTAAGCATCCAGGGTGTGCAGGTGAATTCTGGGAAGGGAGAGATTCCCCACCCGTCCAGCCCTTCTCATGCCGTGTGACCCGCCCACTGATGGACTGGCTGTCATTGCCTTCCCCACAACAACTGCCTTTTAGCCTCATTCTTTGGAACCCTTGGGCCACTGCAAACAACACCCAGAATACTCCCTCCTGCTTTCCTCTGAAACAGGCCCTCTTATGAAGACAACCTAGCACAGCCTATTTCTCTTTCCAAGATAAAGGGGCTGCCTTCTCCTGCTGCCCCTGCTGCTGCCACACCATGCCTTCCCCCCTCGGGCACTGCTCTTCCCTTAAGGCCGGGCCACCCAGCTCTGTCAGCTTCTTCCCCTGCCTGCAGCTGCTGTCATTGAACCCAACTCTGTGCCTCAGTTGAACACGTGTCTGTTCTTCCGCATTTACTGAGACCTGGGTACATGGTTCAGTCTCTCTCTTCATTCCTTTCTTCAGAAATAGATGCTGAGCCCCTGTTCTGAGCCAGGCACCATTCTAGGTATTAGGGACATAGCAGTGACCAAGGCAGAGATGCTTCCTGCTTTTCTGAAGCTGGCGATTAGCCCGAGGGGAGGCGGGCACTTAACAAACAAGTGGTCAAATAGCAGCACTTGCAGTGGAGAGACTTGCTTTGAAGAAAATGAACTAGATTAGTGGGGTCAGGAGGAACAGGCTCAGGGAATGGGGGAAAGATGGGCTCTGTTATAACTGATGGTGAAGAGATGCCTCCGAGTGGTGCCATTTCAGAGGCCAGAATTGTAAGAACGATGGTCTGAGAGCCTCCCTCTGAGGAGAGTAGAGGACAGAGTCATCTGCTAAGAGTGAGGGGTGCAGACCCCTTCACATCCACGTGGTCACCAGTTCCTGTCAGTCTTACTGCCTCAGTATCTCTTCCAAGGGCACCATCGTCTCTTACCTGTGACGTCCCCACTCAGCCCCCGGGTCTGCTAGGCGAACTCCTTCTTGATGTCAGCATTTCCTTCGCAAAGATGCCTTCCCTGATTTGATCCACCAGGCAGAATCTGGGCCTTCCCATTGCCTGCACCGTGATCCCCCCGCAACCAGCCCTTCATACTGGAATTTATCACATGTAGGCAAATTGTGTGCCTCTCCAACTCCTTGTGGCTAGGAGTCCCCAGCACCTAGCACAGAGCCTCACATATCCCTAGTAGTGACTCAGTGAATGAACCCACAGCTTGACTAAGTTAGGGGTCTTCTCACCTCGCCTGACTCCCCCTTCTGGATTTCCAGGCGAGGACGAGGAAAGCGATTCGTCCTCCAAATGTTCTCTGTATGCTGACTCAGATGGTGAGAATGATAGCACGTCGGACTCTGAGAGCAGCAGTTCCTCCAGCTCCTCGTCTTCTTCATCCTCTTCGTCTTCATCCTCCTCCTCCTCCTCCTCATCTGAGTCCTCCTCGGAAGAAGAAGAGGAAGAGGAGCAGCCAGCAACCATACCTGCAGCATCGTCACCCCCCAGAGATGTCCCCACGCCCCTGTCAGCACCTGCAGAGGAGCCCGAGCCAGAGAGGGTTGAAGACTCCCCAGTCACACCTCTCCCCGAACAGGAGAAGTCTCCTGCAAGACCTGCAGGTAGGTGGTGGGGAGCTGCTGTCAGAGTCTTTGTGTATGAGTGTGTCTGTCTTCATGGGAACGGTGGGGTTGACATTTATTAATTGTATGCACACGTGTGACTTCTTTGGAAAACATGCAAAGTTGGCCAGGAGTCACCGTCTCCTGTCACTCCTCCCTTGGAGACAATTATGGCCTGACATGCTCAGATCACACTGCCAGAAACCGTTTTCTTAGCTGGACCAGGTGTTTGGCTACTAAAAACAGAATGGTCTCTTCTCAAATAAGTTAAGGAGAGAATTCCCAATTTAGCAAATTTCTCCTTCTCATTTTTTTCTTAAGCCTCTTCCTTAATGTGTAGTATATACCTGGGTTTAAATGGACAGATTGGATAGGTGATAACTATTAACAACGTGAACTCAGAAGTTAATTCTATCTTTGCTTTTCTTTGTGGATTTGTACGTTCAGTTGTCATTTTATATCACACATGTAACATATCTTGCTGAGTGAACTGTTGCTTTAGGCAGTAGATACTTATTTATTGAATGGGGGTGAGGGATAGGATAGTGTGCACAACAGGCCCTGTTTTCACCCTCGTGAAACTTACCATCTGTAGGAAGAAACATTTAGTCTCTCCTTAAACAAATAATTAAGAAACTCTGTGACTACAAACTGTAAGAGCAATGAAAGAAAGTCTGGGTACTTAGAGAATCTGAGCACATCTGTGAGGAAGTCTTCCCTGCTGAAGCACCACTGGGCTAGAATCAAGCCAAGGCAGGCAGGAGAACGTGTGCAAAGGCCCTGAAGCAGAGGAAATGGTGTGCTCGAAGATAAAAAGGAAAGCTAACCTGGCGAGTGAGAGTAAGGGGAAGCTAGGGTAGCCTAGACTGAAGAGATGAGCAAGGGCTGAATCATGGGAAATAAATAAGCCTCCCTAGGAATTTGGGCTTGATGTTGAGGGCAGTGGAATGCCATCAGAAGACTGATGTGATTATATCCATGTTTTGAAAAGATGCAGTGCAGGGAAAACTTGGAGAGGGGCCAGAGTGTATGCAGGGAGATTAAGAGGCTATTGCAGTAAGTAAGGTAAGCAGTGGTGGTAATTTGGGTTGCTTTCATGACGGAATTAACTCCGTTTTCAAGTTCCGCTTTAGAGATGTGTGTGGCCTTCCGGAGATCTCGTTCAAACCTTGTTGGGAATTTGTGGTCTTAGACAGGCAGTGAGCACAGGAAGACCTTTCAGCATTGGTGCACTCTGTTCTTGTCCAGATCCCGTGAGAGGAGGAATCGAGGCACTGATTAGCCCTAAGACACCTTTCAGCCTCTTGAAGTCCTTGGGTGGCAGAAGAGCTGATGGAGTCGCAGGTCAGGAGGCATTAATCGTAGTACTCTTTGGGAGGGTAGGAAGAAAAAGCGGATGTGATCAGATCTGCATGTCAGGAGGATCATTTTGGCAGAAGTGGGAGGATTTCTAAGAGGTGAAGAAGGAAGTGGGACAGCTCCTGAGAAGGTTTGAAGGGATGCGGGTAAGCGAAGGGCCTGAACCAGAGCAGGGTGGTTACAGTAAGGATGGGGTGCAGGGGGCGGAAGTGGGGAGGAGGGTTTGAGAGACATTTAGGATCTAGAACCTACTACTTACCAGGAAAGGAAACTCAAGGAAAACCAGAACTAGGGAGAAGTGTGATGCATTTAATTGGGGTCAAGTTTCATGTGCCTCTGGAACCTCCAGGTAGGAACATTCAATGGGCAGTTGGATCAATAGATCTGAAGCTCTACACCTGAAACTGTCACAACCTTGTTAATCAACTATACTCCAGTATAAAATAAAATGTTAAAAAACAATAGATCTGAAGCTCTAGAAAATAGTAGGTGGGAAATGCGATAGGTATTTGTAAGTATGGATGTGAGTACATGTGTATACCTTGGAAGGATGTATGGAATGAGAGAAAGGGGCCAGAGCCTAACTGTTTTATAAGAGATAGTGGGCAGAGTGGAGCCAGAGGAGACTGAAAAGGAATGACCAGAGAGGTGGGAAGGAAACCAGAAAGCCCAGGATATCAAAGGGAGAGTGTGGCCTGTATTTTTGGAAGGCCTCAAAAGGAAAAGCGAGTGTTGGATTTGTCAGTTAGGAGGTCACCAACTTATGAAATGGATAAAGTTACCTTATCAATTTCAGTAGTGTGGCTCAAGTTAGAGGGTGTTAAGGAGTGAGGGCAAGTGACAGATAACCATTCTTTTGGTAAGGGTAAGCTATGCTTGTGGAAGAAGAGAGTTGAGGGGGGTGGTACCTAACGTTAGTGAATGTTTCTTGAGTAGGTCCTGTGTGCCAGGCTCTAGGCCTAGTGCATTGCAAATATCACCTTCTCATTTACTCCTCACAGCATCCCTGCTCCTTCCATTTTACAGATGAGGAATGTGAGGCTTAGTGAGATGGTCAGGGCTTCCCAGCTGGTATTGGAGAGATGACAAGAAAGTGCAGGGTTGATGGAGGGTTAGTTTTTCAAAGTAGGTGAGACTTGAGTGTGTTCGTACATTGAAGGGAAGAGAGAGCAAGTGGAGGGACCAAGAGAGAGAGGAATACTTTCTGGAGTGGCCCACCTGGGGAGGTGGAGGGTGGACTCTGTAGGTCAGATGCAGATCTCTCTGTAAATAGGGAGACGGGAAGTTGTGGGGTCTTAGCCTGAAGGCCACCTTTTCCTCTCTTTAGTAGGAAGGCAGGCATTTCTTTTTACTTTATGTGTGTGTTTGTGTAATTTATTTATTTGGCTCTGCTGGGTCTTAGTTGTAGCACTGGGGATCTTTAGCTGTGGCATGTGAACTCAGTTGCGGCATGTGGGATCTAGTTCCCTGACCAGGGATCGAATCTGGGCCCCTTGCCTAGGCAGCACAGAGTCTCAGCCACTGGGCCACCAGGGAAGTCCCAGGCAGGACATTTCTGAGCATGAGGGGGCACGGGTGGAGCCTGGAACGTTGAGGTGAAGGAGGAGAGATGGGTGGATTCCAGGTTAGGTAGGGCTAGTGGAAGGCTTCAGAAAGTAGTGTGATAGGAGAGGACAAAGCGAGGGCCCCTGTGATCTGAAACGACCACGAGGGAAGTTAATTTAGGGGGAAGGTGATGGGCTGGAGGATGATAGAGGATGGGAAATTGAACAGGTATGATGGGGTGAACTGAAAGGACCTGGAGAACTGTGGTCAGAGGGTAGGGGTCAGAGTCACAGTCTGAGGTGGAGGGGGGTGATGAGGTCAGGTGTGGGACTGGTGGAGGGTAACTGAGGATGAGTGACTGAGAATCTGGTGAATAGGTAGGCTGTCAGGACCCTCTAGGTACATAGATGGCAGAGGAGAGAGAGGAGAGGAAGATGAAGGCCTTTAGAGAATGGTAGGAGAATCCGAGCTACCAAGGACACGACTGGATAGAGGCCTGTGTGGTCTGATGGCCGGAGCCTGGAGAGGACTGGTCTGGTGGATCCCAAGAAAGGGGCCTTGACACCTTTAGATCTCGACTTTCTTGTCTTCCCATGTGGTTCATTCTCTGCTGCACATGGTCGTTGTCTCCTATCCATTCCAGCAGAATATGTCTGCCCCACAGACAGACCCCCTCCTATCTTGAATCCTTATACCCCGGGAAGTTTCTCATTGGGTTGACTTGGGTCACACAGCCATCAGTTAATGATGGCCTGGGGGCAGGAAGTGGGATAGGTCATACAGTGGAAAACAGTGGCTTCTGGGAGTTGTATCGAGTGGGCAGGTACCCCGAAAGTTGTCTCCCAGAATTATGAAAGGCATGGCCAGCTTTCCTTCAGGATGGGGAACAGAAGGGAAGTCTCTGGAAGAAGCTGCGTTGGGGGAGGGATTGGGTTTTCTCCAGAACCAGGCTGCCAGGGGGCACAGTAGGCTACGGTGGGAGGTTGGGGCAGAGGAGAGGGCTGCTCTGGAGCATGGGAAAGGATTAGACGGAGAGGACTTGTAGGAACTAGGGGACTGGAGACCAGCACCCAGGGCCTCGCTAGCTTCAGAGTGTGGGTTGCTCCTGGCTGACAGCCCGGGGTTGTCTGGAGCCTCGAGAGACAGGAGGCTGGGGGCATGTTGGTTGAGGCAGTGGAGGCATGTTGATCACTGCCTGCTCAGGCCAGACCTGGTGCCAGCTGCCCTTGAGCTCTGTGGATGGTAGAGCCAGATGTGCAGCCACGGAGTTGCAGGGCAGGAGGTGCAGAGCGGCATGGAGCAGGAGATAAGATCCCAAACTCAGATCCCAGGCTGCCCTGGGGCACAGGCCTTGTGCTGCCACTTGCTAGCTGTGTGATTGGGCAGATTATCAACCTCTCTCTGCCTTGACTTTGTATCTGTAAGATGGTTTTAATAATAGTACTCACATCATTGGGTTGTTGGGAAAATGAAGTATTTACTATAGTGAAAGGCTTGGATTAGTGCTTGACACAAAATTCCAGCTATTAATCTAGTGCAGCAAATTTGAAGCTGGCAATTGAGAGCCACCAGCCTTCTGGTTCTGAGAGGAAGACACTCGCACTACCTGAGGAAACTGGGTAAATCTTCACAACAGTAGTGGCCTTGAGCTGGATTCAAAAGCTGTGTGCAGGCTTTTTGGGCGAAAGGAGTGAGGTATTTTGAACAAAGGGAGCCATGTGAGCAAAGGGCCAGGGGCCTGAAAGACTGTGCCTCTTTGAGTGGCTTCAGCCTAGGATGAAAGGGCAAGGCCATGGACTGGCCTCACAGGGATGGGTCAGGTCTGAGGACTGCCCCAGGAGAGGGCTGTGCCTGAACAGCTGCAGCTCACGGGTCCCCACCGAGGGAGGATGTGCTTCCTGTCCCGTTAGCCAGGAGAGACGGCACCACCTGCTCATTCACTCACCCCTCATCCTGAGGACCTTAGTCCACTCTCAGCCTCTTTTTTTTTTTTCTAATGTATTTATTTTTTAATTTAAGTATACTTCACTTACAATATTATATTAGTTTCAGGTATACAGCATATTATTTGGTATTTTCACAGATTATTAAAAGTTATTACAAGAGAATGGCTGTAATTCCCTGTTAATATAACTTGGTTTTTCTATTTTATGTTTATGTAATTGACATATAACATTGTATTACTATTTTATTTTAGACAAAGAACTTGCAGGTTGGAGGAGGTTAATACCTGTTTATTTTAAAAACCTGCACAAGTAACACACGAGCTCTCATGTTAAAAAAAAATCAGAGAATACAGAAAAAGCGAAAGCCCCACCCCATTTGGCACAACCCTACCACCCCTGCCTGCCCCAGTCTCTGTCCCAGGGTCCTCCAGTGGTAACTTCCGCCAGTGGTGAAGGTGCCCTTCTTGACTTTTGCAACGGCATACACGTTGTATATGTACATTTAGAAAAGGTTCCCAAAGCCAAATAAGTGTAATTTCATTGACGTGAGGGAAAAGCCCAAATAAAGTACCACCTCAGCTTCTTGAGGGGGACTTCCTGACCCTTTCTCATTGGGGTGAGACTCCAGTGCAATTTTATAAAGCGTTTTAATACAAGATTCAATTTCTTACATTGTATATATTTTAACCTCACAGAACAAAGAATATTGTTTGTAGTCAAAATCATGGATACTTTAACTCTGGGCAGATCTGGGCAGTTGCATCCTGATTACAAAATGCAGTTGGCAAAAAAAGTTGTCTGATGTCTGTCTGATTGTTGGATGAGGTTCTGTCACCACCAGTCTTGGTTAAAAAAAAAAAATCCTAGAGTCCAAGAGTTAAGTTTCCTCAGAGTGCCACCCCTGCCCTTCAGAGTTTGGGCTGCCCTGTGTTTCATGTGATTGTCTCCTTGGACTAGAAGTTCTAGAAGGGCTTCAAAGGTGTTTTCCTCATACCTGACATAGTTAAAAGTAAAGTCGCTCAGTCATGTCTTACCAGGCTCCTCCGTCCATGGGATTTTCCAGACAAGAATACTGGAGTGGGTTGTCATTTACTTCTCCAGGGGATCCTCCTGACCCAGGGATCAAACCCAGGTCTCCCACACTGCAGGCAGATACTTTACCGTCTGAGCCACCAGGGAAGCCTTCCCATAGTTCAGTTCAGTTCAGTAGCTCAGTCGTGTCCAACCCTTTGTGACCCCATGGACTGCAGCATGCCAGGCCTCCCTCTCCATCACCAACTCCTAGAGTTTACTCAAACTCATGTCCATTGAGTTGATAATGCCATCCAACCATCTCATCCTCTGTTGTCCCCTTCTCCTCCCGCCTTCAATCTTTCCCAGCATCAGGGTCTTTTCCAGTGAGTCGGTTCTTCACATCAGGTGGCCAGAGTATTGGAGCTTCAGCTTCAGCATCAGTCCTTCCAATGAATATTCAGGACTGATTTTCTTTAGGACGAACTGGTTGGATCTCCTTGCAGTCCAAGGGACTCTCAAGAGGCTTCTCCAACATCACAGTTCAAAAGCATCAGTTCTTCAGCGCTCAACTTTCTTAATAGTCCAACTCTCACATTCCTACAGGACCACTGGAAAAACGATAGCTTTGATGAGACAGACCTTTGTTGGCAAAGTAATGTCTCTGCTTTTCAATATGCTATCTAGGTTGGTCATAACTTTTCTTTAAAGAAGCAAGCGTCTTTTAATTTCATGGCTGCAGTCACCATCTGCAGTGATTTTGGAGCCCCAAAAAATAAAGTCTGTAACTATTTCCATTGCTTTCCCACCTATTTGCCACGAAGTGATGGGACCGGATGCCATGATCTTAGTGTTCTGAATGTTGAGTTTTAAGCCAACTTTTCCACTCTCCTCTTTCACTTTCATCAAGAGGCTCTTTAGTTCTTCGCTTTCTGCTATGAAGGTGGTGTCATCTGCATATGTGAAGTTATTGATATTTCTCCCAGCTGTTTTGATTCCAGCTTGTGCTTCATACAGCCCAGCATTTCTCATGATGTACGCTGAATATAAGATTAAGCAGGGTGACAATACACAGCCTTGACATACTCCTTTCCCGATTTGGAACCAGTCTGTTGTTCCATGTTCAGTTCTAACTGTTGCTTCCTGACCTGCATACAGATTTCTCAGGAGGCAAGTCAGGTTGTCTGGTATTCCCATCTCTTTAAGAATTTTCCACAGTTTGTTGTGATCCACACAGAGACTTTCCCATAGTGTTCAGGAAGTGTTTGCAGAAGGTATGAATGAGCAGATGCAAAATCCCATCCCATCAGGGGAACCCCTCGTAATGAGGACACTGGCAGGTGGGAGAGGCCAGAGTGTCTGGTGGAAGGTGAGGAGCGAGGGCGGCTGGGGTGTGGACTCCCAGGGGAGGCTAGCGGGTTGCCTGCCCCCAACGAATTTCCATCATCAAATCCATCTGACCACTTTGGCCGGGAAGCTGACACTTGCCCTTCTTTGTGTTTCCCTCCCCAAGGTTCCACCGAGGAGCCGCCTCCCAGTGCGCCCCAGCCTCCCCTAGAGCCACCAGCTGGACCCCCGGCCCCCACCCCCCGCCCTGACGAGCGCCCCTCCTCTCCCATCCCTCTCCTGCCCCCACCCAAGAAACGCCGGAAAACTGTCTCCTTCTCTGCGGTGGAGGAGGCACCGGCCCCAGAGCCTCCCCCCGCCGCCCCACCACAGGTTAAGTCTCCCGGCCCTGCCTCCCGCAAAGCCCCCCGGGCTGTGGAGCGGACCATTCGTAACCTGCCGCTCGACCACGCTTCTCTGGTCAAGAGTTGGCCGGAGGAGGTGTCCCGAGGAGGCCGGAACCGGGCCGGAGGCCGAGGCCGCCCCGCCGAGGAAGAGGAGGCTGAACCGGCCACAGAAGTGGACCTGGCCGTGCTGGCTGACCTGGCCCTGACCCCAGCACGGCGCAGCCTGCCCGCCCTGCCCGCCACCGACGACTCGGAGGCCACGGAGACACTGGACGAGGCGGAGCACCCGGGCCCCCTGCTCAGCCACATCCTCCTGGAGCACAACTACGCCCTGGCCGTTAGGCCGCCGCCACCGCCCCCGCCGCCACCCTCCACGCCTGCCCCTCGGCCCCTGGAACCTGTTCCGGCCCCCGCGGCCCTCTTCAGCTCCCCGGCAGATGAGGTCCTCGAGGCCCCGGAGGTGGTGGTGGCCGAGGTGGAGGAGCCAAAGCAGCCGCCACAGCAGCAGGAGGACGGGGAGGAGGAGGAGGAGGAGGAAGAGGAGTCGGAGTCGTCGGAGAGCAGCAGCAGCAGCAGCAGCGACGGCGAGGGCGCCACCCGGCGGCGCAGCCTCCGCTCGCACACCCGGCGCCGGCGGCCGCCCCCGCCGCCGCCGCCGCCCCCGCCCCCCACCTTCGATCCCCGCAGCGAGTTTGAGCAGATGACCATCCTCTATGACATTTGGAATTCGGGCCTGGACTTGGAGGACATGAGCTACCTGCGGCTGACGTACGAACGGCTTCTGCAGCAGACTAGCGGGGCCGACTGGCTGAACGACACCCACTGGGTCCAGCACACCAATATCCTGAGCCCCAGAGGCTGGTCTCCTCAGGACAGGGAGACGGGCCTGGGGGTGGAGGTGGGGGTCCTCCCTGGGGTCGCTGGCCAGGCACTGTCCTGAGATCATTCCTGGGCCTGTGTTTACCTCCTTCCCTGTCCCATTCTATGCCATGTTCAGCTTGGGTATTTCTCCTCTGGCTATCAAGTAACCATTTCTCTCTGGCTTCATGCCTGTTTTCTGCCTTCTGAAGTTTTGGTGGCAGAAAAGGTGGAGTCTAAGACATTTCTGTCTGTCTTTCTGTCTTAACAGTGAGTAAGCTCAGGACTTCCAGCTAAGGCCAGTCACCCTTTCCATGGGCTGGGACTGGGCAGGGGGACAGAGGGGAGCAGAGCCCCAGGGATCTGACTGGGGAGCACCCCGTTCTCTTCCTTGACACCCTGCACTCACCAACCTGAGCACTCCAAAACGCAAGCGGCGGCCCCAAGATGGGCCCCGGGAGCACCAGACAGGCTCAGCCCGCAGCGAAGGCTACTACCCTATCAGCAAGAAGGAGAAGGACCGGTATCTGGATGTGTGCCCCGTCTCGGCCCGGCAGCTAGAAGGAGCAGATACTCAGGTGAGGCTCTGCCTGGACCCTGCCCAGTGGCAGCATCTTCTTTCCATGAGTTCTCATGTCACTTAACCTCCCTGGCCTGCTCCTCGTAGGGGACTAACCGTGTGCTTTCGGAGCGCCGGTCAGAGCAGCGGCGGCTGCTGAGTGCCATCGGCACCTCTGCCATCATGGACAGCGATCTGCTGAAGTTAAACCAGCTCAAGGTGAGGGAGGAGTGGGAGCTGAGGAGGGCAGGGGCACTGTGGGAAGGTGGCATCACGGAGACCCCTGGGGTGGTCCGGGCACGAGTGGCCAGAGCACTTCTGGCCCGGAGGTCTGAGGAGTGGCCAGTGGCTGGGTTGAAGGGGATGCCCAGTGGCACAGTCTGCCTTCTGCCGTCTAGTTCCGGAAGAAGAAGCTTCGATTTGGCCGGAGCCGGATCCACGAGTGGGGACTGTTTGCCATGGAACCCATCGCTGCTGATGAGATGGTCATCGAATACGTGGGTCAGAACATTCGCCAGGTGAGGCTCCACCCCTCGCCCCTGACCTGACACGAGAACCACCCAGCCTTTGGGTGAAAGCCCATGCTCTCACCTGGCTCCCAGACTTAGCCAGTGACACCTGCCTGTTTTGTTCCCCTTCCTTCCGTCAACAACTGGTCATGGATCCTAGTAAACTAGCTTCCCTGGTGGCTCAGCAGTAAAGAGTCTGCCTGCAGTGCAGAAGACGTAGGTTCCATCTTGGAGTTGGGAAGATCACCTGGAGAAGGAAATGGCAACCCACTCCAATATTCTTGCCTGGGAAATCTCATGGACAGAGGAGCCTGGCAGGCTGGGGTCACAAAGAGACACGACTGAGCAATTAAACAACAGCTAGTAAACTAGATGTTAGTGATCCAGCAAGAAATAAGATGAATATTATGTCTCCCTTAAAGAACGTCACAGTTCAGTGGGCAAGACAGGTACTGAACAAGTGTCCAATAAAGACTGGTGCTCAGTTGATATGAAAGGAGATATTCAGGGAGGCAAGAGCAGTAGGAGTGACGTTTAAAAGCAGAAGCTGAAGGATGCTGAGGCATTCCCAGGCCTGAGTAAGAGGAAAGGATGCTCCCCGATGTAGGAGGCATATGCAAAGGCCTGGAGGCAGGATGGTCACTTGGAAAACTCGAGCCAGTGGCAGTAAAGTGAAGCCAAGGGGCCAGTGGAGGCCAGACACCACAGAGCTTGGGAGCCATGTTAATGAGATTGGGCCAATGGTGAGAAAAGTTGCCGTGAAGCAGTAAGCAGGAGAGGATTTGGAGGTTAGTAAGCTCCATCTGACTGCTGTGTGGAGAGAACTAGGTGGGGCTATTGCAGAGATCCGGGCCAAAGGTGGGGGTGGCCTGGACAGGCTAGGGTTTCAGGTAGCTGGCAGAACCAGGCAGCCAGTTGGTTCTGAAAATGGAGGGCAAGGGCTGAGGCAAGACAGTTTCTCCAGGCACTGCCTTTAGCAGCTGGGAGTAGGAAAGGCTGCCAGCGAGGAGGAGGAGCGGGTGTGTGGTCAGAGGCCTCTGGTCCGATCAGTGCCCAGGGGATGTCTCATGGGTGACGCCCAGCAGTTCCACTGAGGTGGATTTTGGCTGGAGGTAGGAGTTTGGGAGGAGTCCCCCCACTTAATTGGCTGTCGAAGGCCTGGAAGAGAGTGAGTTTGCCCAGAGGGAGAGTGCAGAGGGTGAGAGTTTATCGGGCTGTTTACTGGGAAAGGAGTTACTCCTCACATGAGAATGTGGGCCCTGATGCGGACAGTGGCAGCCGTAGGTCCCGATGTGAAAAGAGGGTCCTGGGAGAAGAGATGAGTAGGGTTCAGTCCGTGAAATAGGTACTGTCATTTCAGGAACCATCCCAGCCCCTGAGAGTCTGGGGGCTCCCCCATGGATCAGGCAGACCCCACCCCGGGAGGAGCCAGTGGCTGCTTCTCCTGCCCCGTGGCCAGTTCATACTTCCCTGGGGTCCTTCCTTTGGGTGCCCCTGTCATAACAGCAGCCAAAGGTATTGGGAGGTGTTCGTCAGAGGAAGTCCTGGAAGCAAAGTCAGAAGTCAGCGCCTTGGGGTAGCGGGTGCTGGAGGGAGATCTGTGGATTCAGGACAGGCCGGCGTGGCTCCCGGGCTGGCAGCTGGGGGACCATCCAGACACCTGATCGCAGGGGCCAGTGGAGTCCAGCCTGGCCTGGCAGGAAGCTGAGGGGCAGCCCCCTGACCATCACCCCCTGTCCCATTAGATGGTGGCTGACATGCGGGAGAAGCGCTATGTGCAGGAGGGCATTGGCAGCAGCTACCTGTTCCGCGTAGATCACGACACCATCATCGACGCCACCAAGTGCGGCAACCTGGCGAGGTTCATCAACCACTGCTGCACGGTGCGCGGACGGGGACCGGGCAGGGCGTGGGGGGAGGGGACAGGGTGGGAGCTGGGGGGCGTGGGGGGCAGCCGCCACTGACGCTGCCCTCGGCCTGCAGCCCAACTGCTATGCCAAGGTGATCACCATCGAGTCCCAGAAGAAGATCGTGATCTACTCAAAGCAGCCGATCGGCGTGGATGAGGAGATCACCTACGACTACAAGTTCCCGCTGGAGGACAACAAGATCCCATGTCTGTGCGGCACGGAGAGCTGCCGCGGCTCCCTCAACTGAGGTGGGGCAGGACTGGTGCCCTCACCCCTATTTATTCCCCCTCGCCACCCCGAGCTCGCAGCGCTCCCAGCCTTAGTGGGCTCAGGGGGGCCCACCTGCCCCCTCTTGGAATGCGGGCTTGGGGGCCCTGAGCCCAGCGAGGGGGCCTGAGTCCCTTGAGGCACCTTCTGCGGGACCCCTCTTGCCCCTGCCCTCCCTCCCATACCCCCAATTTTTTTTTTCTTTGCGGAGAAGAAGCTGTAAATGTTTTGTAGCTGCCAGCAGCTGTTTCCTGTGGAAACCTGGGGTGCCGGCCTGTACAGATTCTGTTCTTGGGGGGCCGCCCAGCCCCCATGCTTTGTGTTAATGGGGACTCCCCCTCTGTGCCCTGCGTGCACCCCTCCCCAGTTTAGGGGTCTCTAGGGGGCAGTGGCCATGTTCTCCCCCTGGAGGGGGCCCTGCGCCCCCAGTCCTGGGGACTCCGTGCCTGGAACCCTGCCTCATCTTCTGTTCCTGCCAGACCCGTGGGTCACCCTCCCACCTGGTGTCTGGAAGCTCTGGCTTTGCCAGGCCAGGATGGTGGGGGGCAGGCCCTTCCTGTTGGGCTGGACTGTATATATGTTAATAGCGCAAACCCGACGCCACATTTTTATAATTGTGATTAAACTTTATTGTACAAAAGTGCTTGATCAGTATCTTTGGGAAAGGGGTGGGATGGGGATTGAGGACAGAGGGCGGGACAAGCAAAGATCGTGGGGAAACAGGTGGCCTGCAGTTTGGGGTGGGTAGAGGGGCTTTGGGGCCAGAGCCCAGACCTGCAGGCTCAGCCCCCATCACTTTGGGCCACCTGATAGGCTGGACCAACCATCCAGAAATCCCCGCCAAGGCCAGCCAGAGCCGGGCCAAGGTCAGGCCTCCCTTCCCTTCCCAGAGCCACAGCTGCTGGTTGTCCTGGGAGGTCCACCAAGAGGGAAACACTGATGTCATGCGCCGGGAGTGAGGTCACCCCGCCTGCCCAGTTCTGCAGCTGCCAAAAAACCCCTACTCATCACCCACCCAGCAGGTTCTGCTCCCCCATCCCCATTCCACAAGCTCTGCTGGAACCAGAAGCCCGTGCAGCACAGAGTGGCCACCAGAGGGTGCCCTGTGGCAAGGCTGGGAGGTGGAGAGGTGGAGGCTGGGCTGGTCTCTGTTCCTGGAATGGGCCAGGAGGGAGGAGGAGCAAGCGGAAGGGAACTGTGTGGCGCTGGCCCAGGAGACACACAGGACTGCCTCGGTGCCTAGTTTGGGCGCCCTAGGACTCTGGCTGCAGGTAGGTCCCTTCCCCCAGCTCCACCCTTCCCGCCTTCCTCTACCCCGCTGCCCCAGCTCCCTGCCAACCACCCTTCGTTTTTGGCCCCCGAACTTCTCCCTCTCCCTCAAACCCTGACCCCTTCCTTTGTGCCAAGCCCGCCCCCTTATCTCGGGAACTGCAGCTGGCAGGGTCAGAGGGCAGGTAGCCTGGCCACTGGCACCCACAGCCACAGCCTCCAGAAAACGCTCCGGCCCCTGGATCACTGCTCCAGGCCACTAAGCCAGAAGCCCCTTCTAGGAGGAGAGGGGCAGCCTGTGCTGGGGCAGTCAGCGGCAGGCCACCCAGGTGAGGCAGGTTGTCTTTCCCCAGCCAGGTATGGCCAATTCTGCCCAAACCCAGGAGCTGGTGTACCTGGTCACAGGTGGCTGTGGCTTCCTGGGGGAACATGTGGTCCGAATGCTGCTGCAGCGGGAACCCCGGCTCCGTGAGCTGCGCATCTTTGACCTACACCTGGGTCCTTGGCTGGAGGAGCTGAAGACAGGTGACTGGAGGGAGGGGTGGGGGAGGGGCAGCAGAGGGTGGGAAGGGTGTGGACTCCCTTCCGAGTGGCGGAAAAGATGATGCCTGTTATGTCTCTCTGATGGGAGCGGATAGGATGAATGAGTCATTAGGAAAATGTGGCTCCCGAGGGTGTGGGCCGAGTCCAGCAGCTGGCTGATGGTCTCAGCTCTGACACTGCCTCTGGCTGCCCCTACCCGCTCCCAGGGCCTGTGCAGGTGACTGCCATCCAGGGGGACGTGACCCAGGCCCACGAGGTGGCAGCGGCCGTGGCCGGAGCCCATGTGGTCATCCACACAGCTGGGTTGGTGGATGTGTTTGGGAAAACCAGTCCTGAGACCATCCACGAGGTCAATGTCCAGGGTGAGAGGCTCCCTACCTGTTCTGACCACGTCCTCAGTACTCCCTGGCCCACAGCCTGATCTTGGCTGTTTGTTCCCTGCTCCCTGTTTGACCCTGACCTCTGTGATCACCCTGTGACGATCTGTCCCTTCTGCCCCTGTGGTGGCAGGCCGGTCCTCGCTGACCTCTATGGTTCTCCCCAGGCCTGGGGAAGGCGGGCATGTGTCCTCATCCAGTGTTGGGATGGGGAGGGGAAAAGGCGGATGGGGAGGAAGTTTCAGTTTGGACACACAGCCCCCTACCTCCCTCAGGCACACAGAATGTGATCGAGGCTTGTGTGCAGACTGGAACACGCTTCCTGATCTACACAAGCAGCATGGAAGTTGTGGGGCCCAACATCAAAGGCCAGCCCTTCTACAGGTGAGCTGAGGTCCCCCCAGTCCTTCCAGGGCCCCACCTCCCCTCAGCATTAAGAATCTTCCCCTCTCCCCCTACTAGGGGCAATGAGAACACCCCCTATGAAGCCGTACACCGACATCCCTATCCTTGCAGCAAGGCCCTAGCTGAGCGGCTCGTCCTGGAAGCCAATGGAAGAGAGGTGAGACTCGAAAAGATGAGACGTGGGAGATGGGGCTGCCTGCCAGAGGCAGAACCAGAGCCTGTGGGCTTCTTTTTTTTCCGTCTGGCCACACTGCATGGCATGTGGGATCTTATTTCCCCAACCAGGGAATTGAACCCTCACCCCCTGCAGTGGAAGGGTGGAGTCTTAACCACTAGACCTCCAGGGAAACCCCTGGGGTTTTTGGTTTGGTTTGGTTTTTGTTTTTGTTTTTCTCACCGTGGGCTTCTTTGCATCCTGCCCTGGTTTCCTTCCCTCTCCAACCCGAAGGGACCAGGGCAGAGGACAAAGCGCCAGATCCTTGGTCTGAGCAGGGCATGCCTTTTTTGCCCCCAGGTCCTGGGGGGGTTGCCCCTAGTGACATGTGCCCTGCGTCCTACTGGCATCTACGGCGAAGGCCACCAGATCATGAAGGACTTCTACCACCAGGGCCTGCGCCTGGGGGGCCGGCTCTTCCGGGCCATTCCAGCCTCCGTGGAGCATGGCCGGGTCTATGTGGGTGAGGCCCGGGCTGGGTGGTGGGGGAGGCTAAAAAAAAAACAGGGCAGGACTTGTGTGGTTCTCGGGGGTGGGGGGTGTTATATACTCTAGCTAAAAAAGGACAGTTTATACATGGGCCAGAGCAGACTCTGATATGTGGGCATCGTCTTCATGGGCCATAGGGGAAACAGTATCCTTATGAGTGGGGAAGGCTGACATAAACACCAAGTCATAGGCTGAATGTGTTGCAGTTTTGAGGGTAGCATCTCCTCAGGAGAGAAGAAGGGGGAGCATCTCCCCAGGACCAAGAGAAGAAGGAATTGTACCCATACAGGGGAGCATCTGGCTAAGGTGCCTGCAAGAAAGCAGCCTTCAGCAGGGCGGTAGTTATGTGGGCGATATCTACGCGGATGCAAGGAGGGGGTGGCTTGTTCATGCACTGGCCCAGAAGACAGCAGCATCTATGTGGTTGCCAGGGCACTCAAGGACATCTTCCCCCCCATTCTCTCCTCGGCACCCCTGCCCCCACCCCCACAGGGAACGTGGCCTGGATGCACGTGCTGGTGGCCCGGGAGCTTGAACACCGAGCTGCCCTCATGGGCGGCCAGGTGTACTTCTGCTATGACAACTCGCCCTACAAGAGCTACGAGGACTTCAACATGGAGTTCCTGGGTCCCTGCGGACTGCGGCTGGTGGGCACCCGCCCCCTGATGCCCTACTGGCTGCTGGTGCTCCTGGCTGCCCTCAACACCCTGCTGCAGTGGCTGCTGCGACCGCTGCTGCTCTACGCGCCCCTGCTCAACCCTTACACTCTGGCCGTGGCCAACACCACCTTCACCGTCAGCACCGACAAGGCTCGGCGCCACTTCGGCTACGAGCCCCTGTTCTCCTGGGAGGAGAGCCGGACCCGCACTATCCACTGGGTGCAGACCGCGGAGGGCTCAGCCTAGTGATGGTGCAGCTGGGCCTGGAGCCTGGTGTGGCACGGCATCGTCGGGTCCCAGAGCCCTCAGACCCTGGTGGGGGGGGGCAGGCTGAGCCAGAGGAGGGGGCCGATGCCAGACTGGCGGTCCCAGAGCCCTCCACCTTGGAATCCAGGAGCCTGGAGCCTGTATTTTAATGTCCCTAAGTTCTAGGGCAGGATTTGGGGGCAGGCGTGTCTGTGTCTTCACTCTCAACTCAGGCCTCATGGCTAATTAGTGAGGATCTGACCGCCCTGATGCTCTCAATGACGCCATCCCATTTCTGGCGTTCCGAGCAGAAGTGGGCGGAAGTTCCGCAGGCCCTCATGGCAGGCCCTTGGATGTCCTTTGTGATCCTCAGGCCTGATTTCAGCGTGAAGATGCTTTCTTAATTCTTCCCACCACTTTGGTCCCTGCTTGGGGGTCACAGTCCCATGATTTTAAACATGTATTACCTTTAGACATTTATCTCTTAATACTCGTCAATAAAGGCTGAGGAAGTCTGTGTATTGTCCCTTCTTGCCCCCCACTCTGCCTGAGGTTGCCCCAGTAATGCATACCTGTCCAAGCCCTGGATTAAAACTCCTCTGAGCCTGTGCCCATCCGCCCGGCCAGCGCCCCCCCGCCCCACCTCCCACCATGTCTCTGCCACCCCCACGGCGCCCGTCCCGGGTGGGGACAGAAGGAAGTGAGCACACAGCACGCCCGCTGTTGGATTGGTTGCTATTTCTCCCGTCCCACGGGGCCCGACCCGGCCCGGGGTGGGGGTGGGGGGCTCTGGGGACAGGACATGCAGGGCGGGGGCGGGGGCAGAATTTTCCTGTATTTTATCCATTTGCAACTTGGTCACCAATAGAGAGAAATGGGACTCTGAGGGCTAACAGGAGAGGATGGCCTGGCTCTGGGCCCCCAGCCAGGCCCAAGGAGTCCTGTCCCCTCCAGGAAGGAGAGGGAAAGAGCTCTAGAAACCAACGGAGAAACAGAAGGGGCAGGGGCTCATGTCAGCAAACACGGCTACATCACGTGACACGCCAGCGACACAGAAACACACGCCAACGCACACGGCTGCACAGCAGGCGAGGGGGGGCGGTGGGGGAGGGAGCCGGGGGCCACCCATCTTGTCCTCTGCGGGGCAGGCCAGGGGTGGGGCAGGGTGAATGCATAGAACACATCATGTACACACGCTCGAGGCGTGGCGAGAGCGTGCATCAACCCACAGGCACATGGGATGGACACGCAGTGTGCTTCATGAAAGGCAGGGCTAGGGAGAAGGGGGTAGGGGAAGCAGCGAGCCCTGGCCAGGCCCAGGACCACCCACGGGGCACACAGGGGCTTGATGGTGGTAGGGGCTTGGCGAGAAGGTGGGCAGCACACACTCATCTGAGAACACGCAAGAGACACCAGCCCCCAGACAACAGTTCCAGGACACGCACGGACACAGCAGCCAACAAGCAAACACATCCTGTGGTGGGTGGGACTTGGAGAAGCAGACCCTCAGGGATCCTTTGGTCCATCTGAGGCCCAGAGATGGGCAGTTACAGACCTAATGCCACTCAAGGAGGCAGCAGCATCTCTCCAGCCATGGCTCCACCCTTCTCCTTGTGGCCCCAAGGCCGTGGGAATTCCGGAAACACCTGGGCTGAGAGGGTATCCTGGCTGGGCGGCCGGAAGGAAAAAGGGTGGGGTGGGGGATGCTGGGGCCTGCTCTGACGTCCCCAAAGAAGCCTGAGTGGGAGCAAGGGGGCCACAGTCAGATCCGGGGGCAAACTTCCTGTCTTGATGAAGGGCCCTGTGGGAATGGCCAGGCAGGCGCCCCTCCTGGGGAGAGCCCACCTTAGGGGTCCCGTGTATCCATGGGCCATACACACAGACAGGGTCCAGCCAGGTAGGGAGGGGACCGGCTATCTGAGCTGGGGCTGGGCTGGGGTGGGGTACTACGTCCCAGAAGGTCACAACTGCACTGTCTCACGCACACATGCCTCACATGAAGACGGCCTCCAGGAAACCATGTGTACACACACCAAAGTCCTCTGCCCTGTGCACACGTATGCCAGACCCCAAGGAAGGGTATTCCTGTACTTGTGTGTTCAGTCCTGTATGTGTGGGTCTGTGTTCCTGGGCCAATGGAGTGGGAGGCTTCGAATACTGTTCTCAGCCCATGTACCCCTCCCCCACCTGCCAACCATTGCACAAATCCACCCATGCATGCATGTGTTGTCTGTGCAGCAAGGGAGGAGCAGGCCCCTTCCTCACCATCACAAACCCAGACCTGTGTCCCACTCTCAGACTCACCCTGTGGGGCAACAGCTATTGGTGACACTGCATCAGGAGTCACGTCCAGGGAATGGGTCCCATGACTCAGCCCACTACCGTACGTCTGAAATAAGCAGTTCCCTAAACCCCAAAGGCCAGTGCATCAGACGGGGTGGTAGGGACCATTGCCGGCCTCTTTTCGGTTCTGAGGTAATTCTCAAGAATGTTCTCACTCTGACAGCCTGGGGCAGCCCCTGCCATCCCCCTGATCAGTAGCGTTTCCCACCAATAACCTTTCCAGGAGACACTGGTGTGCCCCGGTGCCAACCTCTACAGGCTTCGTGCTGGTGTCAGCATGCACTGGACTCCTGTGTGCATGTGTGTGTGCCTGGGTGTGGCCTCATCCCCGTGGCAGGTAGGAGAACACTGAGGTGTCCCAGCTTCTACACGTCCAGGCCTACATGACAGAGAAAGATAAGCATGGAGGCTTGTGTGCACAGGGGCTTGGACCACTCAGGGCAGGAAGTGACCATTGCACAATGTTGATGGAGTCATGAGTGGCCACACACGACAGCAGCCAGCAGCTCTGGGGAGAGAGGGAGTGAGCAAAATAACTTGGATCCCAAACTTGGATGAGGCACAGGTCCTTGCAGGTGAACAGATGTGGGTATCATACGCAGGGGGGCAGAAACACACTACATAGAAATCCTCTACACACATATACGCACACACACTTGCAGACGTACTCTAGATAGCGTAGAAATATAGATTTCTGTGCCCACCCAAAACAGGTGTCCCATGCAAAATGTAGAGGGTTCTATCTCAAGAGAACACCTACCAACACTTTAGACACAGCCTAGCTATGCACACACGCACACACACACACACACACATCCCTCACATCACTTGCCGGGGGAAATGCACACAGATACACAGGCTAAGCTAGATTATTTACACGTGTATGCGTTCACTCGCTTGCCTCAGCTGAACCCCATACGCACACACGTGCTCCCTAGGACACAGGCCAGCCCCAGGAGTGACTAAGCCAGGAGGGTTGGCTCCACACCATGCTGGGGTGTCTGCCACAACCTGTGTGTATTTGGGCCAACCTGGATCCTCAGGGGATGAGTGTGAACCTCTGCACACATACAACCTGCCCCATTTGTAGCAGACTCGGGGGAAGGGGTCGTGTCAAGGAAGGCGGTGCTCTTACATTGGATCGAAACACTCAAACACAAAATTCCATAGACACAAACTGTGTATCCATGGATCTGTGACCACACACACACACACACACACACACACACACACAAAACCCTGTTTACAGAAGACAGAAGAGTGGGGCTCAGTGGGCTGCTGTGTCACACCCGGCCACAGTCCACACAACAACCCAGGTGAAGGGGGAAAGCTCAGACAACACACAGACTTGAGGTGAGGGGGCAAGAAGGGTGATCGGGTGCTTGTACACGCAGCTACACACGTACACACACGCACACACGCTGGGGTGTCCACACGTCTCGAGCATGTGCCGGCGGCATGCATGTTGGTGTGCATGTGTAATCACGCCTGCTGCTATCTACGTGCGGGGGCAAGGGTGGTCCATGGTCGGGGGAGGTCCAGGGACTCCAGGGTCTGACGGGCGGTAAAGGTTAAGGGGGGCTGCCTGTGTTGAGGGTGAGCCTGGAGCAGGGGATGGAGTGAAGGGGTGGTGGGGGTATTGCTCCCGATGTGGTAGGGGAAAGGTCTGGGGGGGGATAGGGTGGGGGAGGCCTACAAGCCCAGCGTCCCCCCAATGGATGACGCCAAGACCACCCCCAGCACCACACAGCAAATGATTATCATGATTTTCTTCTGCAGGCAGGAAGGCCAAGGGGGAGGGAGGGGACAGGGAGACCGAGAGATGAAGAGACAGACAAACCGACAGACGAATGGGGAGGACGGTGTGAGGGGAAAGAAGGGAGAGAAAACAGAAAAAAAAGGAAGAGGTCAGAACCCGAGATAAGGCCTCACTTCATCACTCACCTCAGCCCCAGCCTGAGCCCAGCCCCGCCCGCTCGGCTTCAGCCCACCTGCTCCACAGGCCCACCCACCCCGGCTCACCCTCCGGGCCTTGCTCTGATATTTCACAGCTTTCTTGGTGTCAGACACAGCTCGCTCCACGTAGTCCACGGAATGTTCCACATTGTACTCAATGCGGTCAATCATTTCGCCCTGCGGAGGAGACGTGCATGGGATGGGGTGGGAATGGGGCTGGAAGAGGGGACCCCCAGGGGACCTGGGCTAGGCTCCCTGAGGCAGTACCTGGCTCTCCACCAGCATGGCCATGTCCACAAACATGTCATGCAGCTCACGGATGCTGGTTTCCAGCTTGATGATCTCGTTGTGCCTCGTCTCGATTTCGTTCAGCGCCTGCTTTGTCATCTGCGAGTCCATTTTGATCTAGGGTGATGGGGGCAGGAAGGGTGAGTTTGGGGCATGGGAGGGGAGCTGCAACCCCTTCACTCCCTGGAGAGCTTGGATTCTGTAGTCAGAGCGTCTGGGTTCAAATCTGGCTGGTGCTCACTAGCTGTAACTGTGGATAAACTGCTTAGCTTCATGGAGTTTCAATTTCCTCACCTAGAAAACTGATACTAACAGTGCCTGCCTCACATGGCTGTGTGAAGATTGAGTGACTACGTGTATATTGATTAGAATAGTACCTGGCACACAGAAAGCACTAAAGAAACATGTGTTAAATTACAAAAAGTAAAACTTGGGGACTTCTGTAGTGGTCCAGTGGCTAAGATTCTGTGCTCCCAATGCAGGGGTCCAAGGTTCGATCCCTGGTCAGGGAACTAGATCCCATAGGCCATAACTGAAAGATCCTGTGTGCCACAACTAAAGACCCAGCGTGACCAAATAAATGAATATATTTTCAAAAAGCCTCTAAGTACACACCAGGAAGGGAGATGGGGGTCCTGGACCCCCACCAAGATTGGGGGCCATCATCCGGTCAATGGTGGACACGGTAACACAATCAGGTATACTGCCTCCCCACAAAAGCCAAACCATTTGTTTTCCAAACCATTCACTGTTTAGAAAGCCACTCTTCTGCTCTAAAACCCTCCAGGGCTTCCCACTACCCACAGTCTACACATCTTTTACTCTAGCAATCAAGATCCCATCTTCCTTTCTGTCCTTATCTCCCAAATCATAACAGCCCACACAATGGCTCTTTGGCAACTAGTCCACTCTCCCTGTCTTTGTTCAGTCTGTCCTCTTTGTCTGGAATGTTGTTTGCCCATCTTCCCATGTCCAAATGATCTTTGTCTCTTAAGGCACACAGCTCAATGCCACTTCCCCCAGGAAGCCTCCCCTGACCCTAGAAATGAATACTATTTTAGAGCCCATTTGCATCCTGTTCAGCCTTCAGGCAAGGTACCGACAACCCTGCACCGCAATGATGGTGGGTCAATTGGCAGGGATCAGCTCTGTATCCTGAGAACCACTCATCAGTTTTCCCTCTACTCTTCAGGCAGACTGACAGGCATCCTGGGCAGAACTGTTTGGGAGGGCTCCAGGCTAACTGGCCCACAAGCGATTTTCTCAAAGCTAATTTAACAAAGATCAATTCTCTAAATAACGATTTGCTGAAAACTGCTAGACAATCAGTGAACAGACTTTAGTTCTGGTCTAGAAACTTAAACCAGAGTCATTCTGCCACCCACCAGAAGCAGAAGGAGAGCCAGAACCTGTCAGCCAGGGCAAAAATCAAGAAAGAGAAAGAAGAACTACAGTGGCAGAGGTATAGCTGGGGAAAGTCCATCTATTTCACATATAAGATGACAAGGGCAAAACTTCAGCAAAAGTAAAACTAGTTTTTGTTTTTTTTTTAATCTTTAAAACGTAGGCAAATTAGTCACTGGGTGAAATGACCTGTGTCACTAGGGAGAAGTGTATCCTAGTGCTGAAGAGTCATGACTGGACTGCATCCTTGCTCTGCCTCTAGTTGTGTGACCTCTGCAAGTCATTTAAGCTCTTTGTTTAAATTTGGGTCAGATTTCCTCATGTGTGACATGCAGCTGCCTCAGAGGCTTGTGGTGAGGAGTAAAGGAGTTTAGTAGGTAAATGTAAATATGTACAGTGCCTACAACAGTGCCCACTCCCTTCTGCCATTTTTATGAGGGTGCCTTCCTGCTCAGCCCCCATGGAATTCCCCAGTTCCAGATTCAGACTTCCAGGCGCTTGCGATTTCAGGGTTGACTTAGGACCTTGAGTTCAGCCTAAGCCTGGGGAGGAATGATGAATGCTCTGCAAGTACAGACCCCACCCCTGCGCGGGGCTCACATCGTCCGTGAAGATGGCCAATTTTCCACTCTCCAGCATGTCTTCCAGTTCTTCGTTGGTTGTGGTCCTTCCGGCTGTGGGGAGAAAGGGCTCTCTGTTCAGTGACTGGGCCAGCCTGGGAGGCCTAAGGTGATAGGACCCCGGAGCCCACCCTCCCACCTGGCCTAAGGCCCACCGAGGGGAAGGGCCTGCCTGGAAGGAGTACGCGACAGCAGGGGTGGGAGGTTAGGGGCAGGGGTGTCACACGCACTGATCTCCAGCTGCCGCTGGATCCGGTCCTTGCAGCGGTCCCGGTACTTGGACTGGGTCGCATTATATTCAGTCATTACTTCCACGAACTTCCGGGAGAGTGTGGAGTGCTGTGGGGGTACAGACACATTAAGAGGCAGGGAGCAGAGACCGTGGAGGGATGGAGTGGGCAGGAGGGACTGAGTAGGCCTATGGCCCCTTCTTCAGCTCGTGCACGATCCCAACCCCTCACAAGAGCGCAGTTCCTTAGCCCCAACACCTCCATCCTTCGCCCAAACCGACCAAGGCAGCCAGGTGAGGGCACGGAGTTGTAGCGCATCCCGCCCTCCGCCGCAGGCCCGCCCCCGCCCCGCCCAGTCTCCTCCTCGGCCACGCCCCCATACCTATGCCTGCTCTGGGCCGCCCAACCCCAACAAGGAGGGCTCCAGCCTGGACTCCTCCCGTGCCACGTCCCTTCTGCTTTGGTCCTGGCCCTGACCCTGACCGTGCCTGGCCACTGCCTCCTACCTGGGTCTTGCGGATGCGCAGGTCCGCGGAGGAACGGTTCAGTCCCTCCTCCTGTTCAATGCTTTGCTCGATCGCTGTGGGACAGAAGACGCAGTGACCCGGGGCGTGTAGGGCGGAGGCTTGGGACATATGAAGGGGTTGACACCCTGAGGCAGGCCGCAGGCCTGCGATCAGAGGTCACACCCAGGCGAGGGCAGGCAGTAAAGACTGCAGGGTGGTGAGGCAGGAGGAAGGCGAATAAAAGGACCAAGGTTTGAGGGGGCCTTCCAGGCCCAAGTAGGAGGCGAGATTGAGTGTCAATTGGTCACCAGAGGGGAGCTATTTGTTCTGATGGAGAGACTGGGTCTTTGAAAGTCTAACTCCTGCCTAGCCTCCCAGTCGACATCCTCTGTATGAATGGGAGTGGAGGGTACTCTCCACTTTTTGCAATCTCAGCAAAGGGTCAGGAACCCATCGAGGGACTTTCTGGTGGACTGCAAGGAGTTTCAGGCTGGTCAGGTTCTAGTGGCTGCCCTTTCCGTGGAAAATTCCAGGGTAAGCAGATGCATGTTCCAACAGAGAAAACAGCTCTCCTCCTTCCCAGGTGGCACTAGTGGTAAAGAACCCACCTATAGATGTAGGAGACATAAGAGATGTGGTTCGATCCGTGGGTCAGGAAGATCCTCTGGATGAGGGCATGGCAACCCACTCCAGTATTTTGCCTAGAGAATTCTATGGACAGAGGAAACTGGTGGGCTACAGTCCATAGGGTCACAAAGAGTCGGGTATGATGAAAGAGATGGACACGACTGAGCACACGCACACACGCTGCCTTAGAAATGACTCCTGTCCCAGGAATCCCCACTGCTAAAGGATGTTCTGGACAAGCACACAGATTAACTGGGATTGCTGCTTCTAAATCATGCACTCCCCACACTTATTCAGATTTTCTATAAAAGAGCTTGTGAGTAAGATCAGCTGGCCTCCGGAAATGCAGCCTGAATGAAACACAGGCCCTCTCAAACGGGGAAAAGCCTCCAGGCCATTCCTAAGAACATTGCTTCGCTGTTCCTGGCAGCAGTGGAGGTATGAGGCTGGATGGCACCCCAACGCTCCCCTGCCAGCCATGGTGGGCCAGCAAATGAGTGACATTTCTGTTCCAGCTGCTACAGGAAAAGTCCAGAAACACACACCCAAGGATGTCGGAATCGCTGGCCCCAGACTGGGACCCTACTGTCAGACTTGGGGCTGGGACCAAACCCCGGAGGAAGGGATCCTTTCATAAGGTCTCAATGACTTCTTCCAGCAATCCTGGGAGTTCAGTGATAGTAGTCCAGATTTCAGACTAGAAACTGAGGTTGAGATGAAGAAAAGAACTCATTCGAGGTCACAGACAAAGCCAGAGGTCATGGCACCACAGAGCTGGAGAAAGATGAAGACTATCTCTCTTTTTCTGGAGCTCTGAAAGGTCAGCTTCTCTAAGGCACTGCCACTTTTCCTAGCTTCTTTCTCGGCTGAAGTCCTAAACCATACAGCCCTCCTCATTGTCTCATGTGTGCTAAGTCGCTTCAGTCATGTTCAACTCTTTGCGACCTTATGGACTGTAGCCTGCCAGGCTCCTCTGTCCATGGGATTTTCCAGCCAAGAATACTGGAGTGGGCTGCCACACCCTTCTCCAGGGGATCTTCCCAACCCAGGGACTGAACCCATGTCATGGTCTTATAGAGTGTGTTAATGTCAGAGTTCCATGGGCTCAACGAAATCATTGAGCACAAGGATTTTTAAACTGTGTTCCATAGATCCCTTCTTCTGAGAAGGAACCTCAGAGGGTGCTGTTGCTGGGAGTGATGGGAAGCCAGGTGCATAGGTCTCTGGGACTCCCAACCCCAGGTCAGTCAGAACAGTCTGACATTTATGTGTTGTATATAATGGAATTTGGGGTAAGATTTCACCTAGGAAAAAAAGATTTTGCTACCCGCCCCAAAAAAAAGAAAAAAAAAATGAACAAACTTCCCCCCCACCCAGCTTTGAAATTGCTTCAGTAGTTCTCACTGTATTGATGAGGAAGCTGAGGGTAGGGTACTTGTCCAGAATGAGTTAATGATGGAAGTGGGCTCCCTATGTTTGGATTTGCAATCAGTGAGCTCCCAGTTTGGATCATTCTGCTTTCTAGCTCACACTCCTGAGTGCAAAGGGCTTACAGATCAGCACCAGAGGCTCACATATGACCTCCTGTTGAATCCAGGAAAGCATGGAGTCCCTGTCCTCATCTCCCTGGACCAAGGTCATTGTGCTCAGGGCCAGACATCTGACATGACTCCTTTCCCCCCAGAGCCCAGCAACCTTGCCTCAGACAGAGGAGTGCTTGGCAAATGTTTTCTGATGCTGAATTACCAGGAGCATACAAATTAATATCATGGTAACGCTGCTGAATTCCCCTGGCACCAACAGACAAGGAGGTTCCCAACCCACAATGCTTTGGGGGAAGGTGGTTATTACCAGCACCCAAGTCCTTAAATTAGAGTGAATACATGAGCATTTGGCAAGTCCCTCCTGCAAGCTTGCCAGCCCCCTGGTGTCAGCCACACAGTCCAATCTGTCCTGAGCTAAGGATACCAATTCAGAAGCATTTGCTGAGCCCACCTACTGGGTGCTGAGCGCTATGTCCGGCACCTGTTCGGGAGAAATGAGGCCTCCATGAAACGAAAGCCACCTGGAAGACTGTGTTTTCTCAGCAGACCTTCCTGCCGATGGAACCAGCAGAGCTCAGATGCAATTTGGACAGAAACCCTCCTTTCTCTCATTTCCCTGTCCAGTCTGTATCGTTCTCTGTGGAATCTGGAGCAAATTAGAAAATCTGGGATTTTATGCCTTCTCACTGTTTAGGAATTTGACTCCTGGAAGTTTGTAGACATTTGTCATGGTTTAGTCCAATGGAAGGCTGACTTGTTTCCCTCCTTGGTCAGGGGAGGGCATTTCTCACCTTTCAACTTGGATCGAACCTTGTTGGCCGTCTTCTTGATGTCTGTAGTGAGGTCCTCCAGCTCCTGTTTGGTCTCTGAGGGGGAGGCGAGGGGAAGAGAGGGAGAGGTGAGATGTCTGGGTGGGACTCCAGACTCCTTCTGCCCCCAGTTCCCAACCACCCAGCAGTAGCACTTACTCTCATCCGGGTTGGGGGCGGCCAGGATAGCACTGTGCTGTTTTTTCACTTGTTCCACATCCTCTGACAGCTTCTCAATGCAGCCCCGGATCTCTTCCACCTGGGGCAGCAAATTGGCTATACCCAGCCAAGGCATCGGGCCAGACAAAGGGATTCGGGAGGGGGGGCTCAGTCAGGGCTCAGGGAAATGGGCCAGACCCAGAGGGGTTGGTAAAAGGCCAAGGGGATGGAGAAGTAGAGAGAGGGATGGGAGTGCAGAGGGCCAGGAAGAAGGCAGTTGTGGGCTGGGGGTCAGGTTCTGTTACCTGTTCAAAGAACTCATCCATGAAGTGGTCTCGGTCCACGTGGACCACTTCTTCCTCATCATCGCTGTCTTTCGCCTGGGAGGCAGAGAAAGGCAGAGTCTGTGAGCAGTCCTGATGCCCCAAGCTCTAGGCTCAGAGTGGGGGTCCTGGGAAGGGTCACATGAAGGGGGCCCAGAAGTCATAACAAATACCGAGGGTCTTGTGGCCCAGGGTCCCGGAGGCCGGGTAGCTGACAGCCCAAATGACACCTGGGAGGGGATTAGCCAAAGGCACCCTTATGGGATAGAAATGGTCCTGGGAGCGCTGTCACCCTGGAGGCGGGTGGTGCTCTAGACAGATGCTTTATCCAACCAGCGTGGAAGCATTTCCATATTGTAACAACCGGCCAAATGTCAGCCTGTCAGTAATTGGCTCTGGGCGGTGAGAAGGGGTCTGACGTGGAGTCCCGGCAGCCTGATCCCCTCCACCATGCCCCCAGCCACTCCCACCAGGCTTCACTTTGTTCCCTTCTCTTCCCCTCCAGCCTCCAACGCGACCAGCCACGTCCCCTATGCAAGGTCACTTCACTGCCAGCGGCGGGCATCAAGTTAAGCAAGCACAGTCAGGCCCGGGGAGGGCTGGATGCGAGACACAGAGAGCACCCCGACCTTCCTCCTCCTACCCACTCTCACCCCTCCCCGACTTTCCTCCGTGCAGTCACTTGCTTTCATTCCAGCCTCTTCCAACTTCACACCCACCTACTTTCCCTTGCTTGGATTTCCCAGTTGCAACCTGCAGCTGCTCAGCCCTCCACCCCCAGGGCTCAGAGATACAAAGGGATTCACCCTCCCACACCGCCACCGCGGCCACCAGACAGGCCAGTGACATAGACAGAAGGGCTGACAAACAAGGCAAACAGAAATAGGCCCCCTGACACCCACACTGCGCTGACGCTCTGACGTTCACCCGCACACGGGCCCACAGCAGAGCTGCTTTCTGAACATGTGGACACACAGACGTGCAGCGCTCACCACCCCCACGCCCCCTGGGACACTGGGGAGGGCCCCCTGGGGCTGTGCTCCCAGCCTCTCTGAGCCTCAGGTTCGCATGCTCACTCAGATCTAGGAAGGAGGAAAGGGGGGAAGGGAGGGCTCCCCAGTGCTCCACACTCCCGACTCAAGACCCTGCTCGGGACAGAAGTCTGAGGGCCCATTAAACTTAATTACATTTGGAGCCCTAATCAGCCTCCAAGGAAATTTAAACAGAGTTCACCCTGATTTCCAGAAAGAAAGAAAAAAACAAGCCAAGACTCAGACAGAATCTCACGACCACAGCCTGAATGAAATCAAGACAGGAGCCAAAAGTGTCTAGCAGGGGACGTTGCCAGATGAGACAGAAAGAGGAGAGCTCGCCCAGAACCTCGACAGGGTCTCAGCAGACCGCAGACAGGACCCAACAGAAACCAGACAGCTCAGACCCAACCAGACTCACGCAGACGGATCGCAGACAGCTGAGATCGAACCTAGACAGAGCCAGATGGGAGCTAGATGCAATCTAGACAGCCAGTTAACTTGGAGTCGGAGAGTCCCGAGAACACAAGGAAGAGACCGATGGAGACGTCCAGCTAGACCCTCTCAAAGGCACCCCAGCTTTCCACCAAAGCCCGGTGGTCCCCAGGGATCCTCCCCACACCATGTCAGAGAATGGGTTTGGCACTTCCATTTCATCCCAAATATCTCCCGAGAAAGGGGGGGCTCCTCTTCTTGGCCCACAGCTGCCCCCAGAAGGAGGGGTGGTACCCGGTGGGGCTTGGGGACCCCCAGGGGACTTCTGTCTCCTCAAGTCTCCAGCTGACCCGGAACCACACACACAGACCTTGGCCCCAAGGGGCTTTGAGCTGCCTGGCTCATCTCTGAGGACTCACTGGCTTCCTATGAGGTGCTAGCCTCAAAAAGCTGGGTGCCCCACGATGGCATGTTCCTTCTCTGCCTTCAAGCACTTGGCCTGCAGCCTGGCTGCCCATAAGTCCCACTGGCGCAGGTGTCTGGACACTTTCCTGTTCTGTCTTTTTCCCTCCCAGGTTGACTTTCTGTGCATCTGAGTTCCCCACCAGGGAAACACAACGCTGACTTCAGACTTCCTCAAGTCTCATTCTCTCCTTCTCTTCTGTGGTCCCCAGGGCCAGGTCCTTGATTCTGCCCCGGGGCATCCTTGGCGGCCTGTTTACTTGCCCTTGAGAGAGGAGGAAAGGTACAGGGCCCAAGGATGACTTAGTTGGTGCACTAATTACAGGCAACTGAGAGCTAAAATCCTCTCCAGTTTCCAGACACTTCTCCATCTATAATCTTGTCTGATCCTTACCACCATAGCCCTTGAAAAAGCTGTCCCCATTTCACAGATAAGGGAACAGGAGGCAGTGGGGGAAGAGAAAATGGACTTGCTCCCAGCCTGAAGGGCTGGGAAACCAGAGGCATAATCTAAGACATGCCTCCTCCCAGAGCCTCTTCTGTGGCTCAAGGCCACGCTGCCTCCTACCAGCCACTCCACCACCAGAGGGTTCCCTTCTCAAGTCCCCTCCTAACAAGGCCCAATCTGGGCAAAGCTCTGCGCCCTGAAAGCCTAGCAAAATATCAGCATCTGAGAGTGCCTTTGGCCTTGGTCTTGCATTCTTGTTATCTTATTTAATCCTCACTGAAACTCTTCAGTTGACCATTGGTCAGTGAAAGCTCATGAAAGTGTTAGTCGCTCAGTCGTGCCCGACTCTTTGCAACCCCACGGACTGTAGCCTGCCAGACTCCTCTGTCCATGGGATTCTCCAGGCAAGAATACTGGCAGGGGGAGCCATTCCCTTCTCCAGGGATTCTTCCCGACCCAAGGATGGAACCCAAGTCTCCTGCATTTCAGGCGGATTCTTTACCATCTGAGCCACCAAGGAAGCCCCGTTACGGCAAATGCTTACACAGCATTTGATGATGTGCTAAGCACTGTTCTAAGCGCACTGCCTTTATTTATCCATTTCGTTCTCACAATAGCCCCCTTTTATAGGTGGGGAAACTGAGTCACAGAGAGGCGAACGAGCTTGCCCAGGTCAGCAGCTGGAGGGCTACATGCCTTCTTCCCTCTGAACTTCAGTCTCTGCATTTGCTGAATGGCAATAAAGTCAAGAAAGTAAAAGTGTTAGTCGCTTGGTCGTGTCCGACTCTTTGCGACCCCATGGACTGTAGCCCGTCAGGCTCCTCTGTCCATGGGGATTCTCCAGGCAAGAATACTGGAGTGGGTTGCCATTCCCTTCTCCAGGGGATCTTCCCGCCCCAGGGATGGAACTCGGGTCAACTGCACTACAGGCAGATTCTTTACCATCTGAAGCACTGGGGAAGCCCAAGTCCTCCCTTAATGGTGGGCTGGAGGAGGCAATGAGACCTCCTCCAGGCAGGAAAAAAACACCAGATGCTGCCAGAAATAATTACTGCTCAGGGAGGGTTGGTTGGTCCCTACTGCCTTTCCCCTGTTACAGATGAGGAAACAGGCTCAGAGAGGTTGCCTGGCCCTGCCTAAGACTTCACAGCAAATAAGGTCAGAGGTGAACTGAAGTGAATTTAGCCCCTGAACTGTCTGGTACTTAATCTCAGGCTCTTTGCCTCCTGTCCCTCTGTTTCTTCCTGGCCCCTAAAGAGTTGTCTCTGCTGTGTCCTCAGCACTGCTGAATTCCCGTGGCTGGGACAGAAAACCAGGAAGAGGTGCCAGGCTGCAGGAAGAGCCCAGACAGGAAGCCAGGTGTTCCAGCCTCCATTCAACCTGCTGTGTGACTCTTGGCAATTCGCGGCCCCTCTCTGGGCCCTGGCTTATCTATGCAATGGGTGGGCCCTCCTCGCTCGGAGGTGTGCATACTTCATCAGGAGCACAGCCTACATTTCTGGATGAAGCTAACCAGCCTAAAAGAAAACAGGCTACAGGCAAATGAGAATACCTCAAAAAAGGTGATCACATATGCCCTTATCCACCTATGGACAACTGAAGCCTCAGTTTCCTCCTGGGTGAAATGAAGATAAGAATTATATACATCAGACACATAGGTGTTAATAACGAGGCGTTGGGCTCAGTTACAAGGGCTTTGCCTGAATGAATTTAATCCTTACAGCCACTCCGTAAAGTAGATAACTCTTTTTATTCTCATTTGACCAATGAGGCAGAGAGAGATTAAGTAATTTGCCTAAAATCATACAGCTGGTGGGGACCCGACAGGGTGGGGCCTGGATTGGAACCCCGGCAGTCTGCTCTTTACCACCTGACGACTCCTCAAGCACCAAGGAGGATGAAATGGGAGCGTGTGGAAGCCCTGAGCACTTCTGGAACTGCCCTGGGGACAGGGGACACCAGATCCAAGCCTCTGGGTTCAGCCCTTCCTGATCAGAGACACCCCGGGCCCTCATGGGTGTGTGAGTTGGGTGGAGACAACACAGATGCATGGACCGAGGGAGTGGGGCAGTGTGAGCCAGCGAGTCCAGCACGGAGACAGACAAGAGGGTGACTAAACCAGAGGAGGAAAGAGACTGGAACTGGGTGATAGAAAAGTCATAGAGTGGGGACTTCCCTGGCAGTCCAGTGGTTAAGACTCCGAGCTTCCACTACAGGGGCCGCGGGTTCGATCCCTGGTTGGGGAACTAAGATTCCTGCATGCTGCATGGTGTGGCCAAAAAAATTAAAAAAGAAGTCATAGAGTGGGTATGTGTGTGGGTAAACATGTATGCATGCCCACACACACACAATGCACATGTGCTCACACCTGCTTCTCAGGGGCACACGCATCCTTTGATCTAGAGGCACCAGCCTCTCTCCACTGCACCCCCTGCTTCGGTCCATCTGTTCCCGACCCGGGAAGAGATGCTGCTCGATCCCAGCATCTAGCCCAGCCTTCCCACCCCTACCTCTCTCTTCTGCCTTCTCCACCAACTCCTTCTTCACTCCCCCTCTGCCCCACAGAGTCATCATTTATCTAACAAATGTGTCTGATCAGTGTCCACTTCTCTCCTGGGTGCTGCAGAGAACAAGCCAGGAAGGTGGCCTGCCTCCAGGTAGCTAACACTCCAGGGGAGGGAGACAGACTGTGCAAAAGAAGCAAGACAATTTCAGACCGGGGCTCCGGTACATAGCAGGAAGGAGATAAAGCGGGAGGTGTGATAGAAATGGCCGCGGGGGAGGTTTGACATCCGAGCTAAGGCCCAGGGAGTTAACTGCACCACAACCTGGAGGACACTGAATTCAAGGCAGAGGGAACAGTGTTCAGGCAGAAGGAACAGCATTCACACAGAGGGACCAGCAGGTGCAAAGGCCCTCAAGCTAGGGGGAGCGTGTGTGTCTGAAAGGCAGAAAACAAGCCCCGTGCTGTGGGGGGGCTATCAACCCATCACCCAGGGTTCTCCTGGTCCCTGATCGAGAATGTGGGGCCACTCTTTCCTTCTGCTGCATCAGGTCTACATTTCTAAAGCATCTACTATGCCTATCCCATCACTGAGGGCCCTCAAATTCCTCACCTCAGGCTCCCTCCCCATTTCCCAGTCTCCCCAACCACCCCCACACCCGCCTTCCCACTCCAGAGCTTCCTCGCAGGCTCTGCCCACAACGCATCCCCTTGTGGCTTCGCTCTACAACCTTTCTCTCCACCTCACTTGCTCTCTTCCTCTCCTTTTCAGCCCATCCCTGGCCCCACTCCTTGGACCCTGGGATACCCATCCAGCCAACTGACTCCCTCCTGCAGCCTCCACTCCAGCTTAGCACCTCCCAGTTGCCAACCAAAGGTGCCTGGTGATGTGGAAACAGAAAACCCTAATTCAATCCTGGCTCTGCCATCAACAGCTGTATGACCTTGGGCAAGTCAGGTTACTGCTCTGGCCCTCGATGTACTTCAAAATAAATTAGGGGCCACATCTTGCCCATCCCAGGGGGCTGACGGGAGACTCCAGAGAAATAAACGAGTCAGCTGTAGAATAACATACACTCGTGGAGCAATGCTGAGCCCAGGCCTCCTTCTAGGAGCCTCTGGCATAATTTCAATCCTCAGGATAGCCTTCCGAAGCAGGTCCCATTGCTACTCCCAATTCACTCATGAAGGAAGTGAGGACCAGAGAGGTTAAGCAATTTACCCAAGGTCACACAGGAGTAGCAAAGCTGGGATTTGAACTCAGATAGTCTGACTCCCAAACCTGTGCCCTTGAGTGCTATGTGATAAACCCCTTGGGACCTCTTAAAGTGCTATTGGAAAAAGACAATCAGGACCCCCCAGGCTGACCTCCCCTCTGATCACTGACTTTCTGATCCCTCTCAGCCTCTCAGAGGCCCCTTTCCCAGGCCTCCCACACCTTGCCTGGTTTCTCCAGGCTTCCAGCCTCCTCATTCTCAATTCTGGTGGGGAGACCCCCACACTCCTTGCATTTGGAAGCTTTTTCCCACCCCACACGTGCCCTCCCAAATCTCCAGTTTCCTGGAGCCATGACTAACACCAGAGCCATCAGCATTCCGTCAGCCCCCTTCACCCATCCGGCCCTGTCCCACCTCCACCACCGGCTGCCCCCAGCAGCCCCAGCAAACTGGATGCCTCCCCTTGGGGCAGTGGGTCCCTGACCCACTCAGATGAGGACACTCATCACTGCCTTCACTGTATCTTGCTTTGCCTTTTCCCTCCCCCTCTCTAATCACACCATGATTCCACTATCACCTCACCCCCACCTGCTTTCCATCTCTCTGGGTTTTGGAGTCATGGCACAGTCTTGGCAACAGCAGAGCTGGGTTCAAATCCAGACTCCTCACTTGCTAGTGCTGTGACCTTGGGCAAGTTTTAACCACTCTAGGCCTCAGTTTTCTTCGCCATAAAATGAAGCAGTCTCTCAGTCTGCCTACCTTACCAGGTGAAGGTCTAATGAGATTATGGATGACAACCTGCTTTGGATGAAAATGGGGAGGGAAGGGGAATTAAGAGCATCAGTGCTGGAGCCAGCCTGCCTTTAAATAGCTATGTGAATTTGGTCAAGTTACTTAACTTCTCTGGGCTTCAGCTTCCTCATCTGTAAAATGGAATAATGCTAGCACCAGTCTCTAGGGTTGCTACAAGGATCAAAATGAGTTAATACATATACAATACTTAGAACGGTATCTGGCACATGAATGTTGGTTATTTAATCACTCCCAGTTTCCTGATGCCTGGGTGTATAACTCAAAGTTTAATTGAAAAAAAAAAAAAAACCAACACCAACCTTCAAAATTCCCTCTAACAACCACCAGTTTCTCCTTCCGTCCCACCTGCCAACCCATTTCTCTTAGAGGCAGCAGTCACTTGCCTCCCAGCTCCTTCCTTTTGCCTTCCTATAACCTGGTTCCCCACCCCCAAATCCAGGGGGCCCTCCAAAGACAGAGCTTTTTACCTCCAGTGTTGAGACTTCTCTTTCAAAGGCTAAAAAAGCAGAGACACATGTCAACTTGGCAGACGGGAAACCCAGATTTCTGCCTGATCTTCCCACCCACTTGCTTGGTGACCTTGGGCAAATTCCTACCCATCACCAAACCTCGATCTCCTCATCTGTCAAATGGGATAATAGCCCAGGGGGAACAGCCAATAGGCTCCTAGTCAAGTGCATCAGGCTACATCAGTTGGGTCCAGTACTTTATTAGCATAACCCCCGGGGCCCTGAGCACACCGCAGGCTGTCAGCTCTGCCTCCTTGGGCCCCAGGTCATTTCTCCAATGCCCCTCGCCTCTTCCCAGTCCCAGAACCCCCACTCCCCAGCCTCTTCCAAATGGCAGCGTTCACTGCAGACACCAGTGCCACCCTCCTCCCCTCTCACCCAAATCCAACTCACTGCCTGGCGGGACTCCTGGAGCTGGGCCTCTTCAGGCCTGCAGACCAGGGGCCCACGGTCAGCTCACGCCTGACCGTTCAGGATGCCCCAGTTCCCCCCAGTGGGGCACAGTCCACGGCTCACAACCCAGTTCCAGGGCCCTGTGCACAGACCCTCCTTCCGGCCTCCCCTGCAGCCCCCTTCTCCCACCTCTAGGATCACTCTCTGCCCGGCCCTGGCCTCTGGCCATCTCCTGAGGCCACCCCTTCCCTCCTGTCTCTGAGAGGTGCCCCCTCCCCACGGACAGCAACACACACACACATTCCATTCACTGCTCAGTTAGCATCTCAGCCCAACCTGTGTCCTTCCCCCCTGGCTGCCCCCAAATCTGGGTCCCGCTAGGCTCAGCCTGGCCCAGGAACTGCCCACATCCTCTCATTCAGCAAATCTGCCCAGCAGATAATAGCACCCTCTAGTTCTCTCCCCACACTCACTCTCCCATCCTCAGATGAGACCCCAGGGCCCTCCTACGGACTGGGGTGTCCAGGGTCCCTGAGACCTCTCCTGCACCCCGCGTGTCTTAATGGCCTCAACCCCTTCTAGCCACTGGCCCTAAAATGCAGGTTCATTGGAGACAGCAGGTGCCTCCACATCTTGGGGCGCCCCTGCCACCAACCTCCCGCCTCATCATCTGCCCCCACGTCCCAGCACCTCCCCCACTCCACCCCCACGCGTCCCCCAATATTGGGGTCCCGCCCCCCCATTCTCCCCACCCCCAGGCTCACACTCCGCAGCTCCTGAGTCCGATCCTTCATCCTGCGACGGCTCCTCCTCCTCCTCCTCCTCCTTCTCGTTCTCCTGTCTCTGCTTCTGCTCCCTGCCTCCTGCCTCGGTTCGGGAGGCCGGAGTCTGGGGGCGCCGGGGGGGCACCGGGGCCACTGGCTGGGGCCCGCGGGCGGGGGCGGGGTCGGGGGCGGCGGGCTGAGGGCTGAGCAGAGGCAGGGGCCTGGGCCGGGCTCGGCTCTGCCGGGGCTGCGGTGGCGATGCGGCTGCGGCACAGGCTCGGATGGAGGGATGCGGGAGAGCTGGAGCGCGGGGGAGGGGGGCGGAGGGAGGTAAGGAGGAAGGGAGGGAGGGGGGAACCAGGAGGGGGCGGGGAGCAGGGGGCATGCGCAGCGCCGGGGGCTGGGGGCGCCTGGGGGTTGTAGTCCGGGGAGGGGGACACAGGAGGGAGGGAGACGGGAGAGGCCTAGAGGGGGGTGGGGAAGGGCAGAGCCACAGAAGCAGGGAGAGATGCGGAGAGGCAGGAGATGCGGCTGGAGGCGCGAGATGCGGCTGGAGGCGCAGAGATGCTGGTGTGGGGTGGGGTGGCGGTTGGAATGGCAGAAAGAAGGGGTCAGGGAATGAATTAAGGAACAGCCTGGGGAACAGTGCTGTGGATGCCTTTACATCAAGAGATGTAGATAGATTTTATATTTTTTGTTTGGGAGTATCCCTTGAGTCTGTGCACGACCACCTCTGTGTGTGTGTCCCCGCGAGGAGCTTTCTGGACACTAGAAATAGCGAAAGTGACCCTCTAGGTGGCTTTTGTGATGCAAGGAATCAGCCAAGCCTAGCTGAGAAGGACATGGGGCTTGTTTTTCTTTTTTTTGCACGACCTTCCCCACTCTAAGTGTGAGAGTCCCCAGATAGTGTGGGTCTCAGAGCTCTGCTTGTCTACCTCCAGGGACAGGGAGCTCACCACCTCCAGAGACCTGGCATATCTTTAGGTGGCTCTGTCAAAACAAAATTGGTCCTTGTTGGGAGGGGATTTCTGGTAGCCCCAAGGGTCCAAGAACCCAGTCCTGTTCATTCATGGCCACCTTTCCTCTCTCCATCTTCGCGTCTTAACATCACGTCAACTTTTCTACCCCTGCAGTGGGGCCTTGGCCACCAAAAGGCCTCAAACCTGCTTTTTCAAAGGTCCCCAGTGACCTCCTCAATGCCAGATCCATTAGTTGCTCATCAGGCAGTTGCTCACTGTGATCTTTCAGCGATGCATGACCCTGAGGACCCCTCTGTTCTTGACACCCTGCCCTCCTTGGCTGCCACCTGCCTCCTGCCTGCCACGCCTTCCCCTCCAAACTCTGGAGGTTGTTTCCCAGCCTCCATCCAGACCCCCAGCTTCTTCCACCTCCCCTCAGCAGCAGGATTTCCTGGGCCTCCTCCCAGGGTCTCCTCTTTCTTTACCCCCTCACCTCCCCAGCTTCAGCCACGCTGACATGACTACAATATCCACGCTATACCTGCATGCCAGGTCCTCAGGGCAGCACCTACTATGTGCCTGAGCACTGAGTGAACACCAAGAACAGGAACCAAAACAGCAGTCTCAGATGTGGGCATCCATAACTATTGTGAGTGAGGCCAGGGCTTTGGCACTGACCACCAAGACTGGAGTGGCCTCCCCTTCTCCCAGTGAGCCCCTTCCTGTGCTCGCCAGCAGAGAGGGCATCTCTGTCCGTCAGTCCCTCAAAGCAGATAGAAAGCCTCTTCTTGGCTCCCTCCCCCATCCAAAGAATGCTGCCATATTCCAAGCATCTGCCAAGTCCCTGGTGTGTACACATCAGGAAGCAGGCTTGAAATGCTTAAATACCAGCAAAGGGGCAGGGCTGGGGCTCTTGCCTGCAACTTTTTTATTTTAAATTTTTATTTTCTGCCTACATGCCACATATGGAACCTTAGCTCCCCAACCAGGGATTGAACCCCCACCCCCTGCTTTGGAAGTGCAGAGCTTAAACCGCTGGACCATCAGGGAAGTCTTTGCCTGCACCTTTTGATGACAAAGCCCATTCCTGTAAATCCACAAGATTCCAGCCCCTCCCTCCAGAGCTGTGTCCTGGATTCCGTCCATCCCCACCACACTTGTCAGTCTAGGCCCTCACTGGTTTTTATCTGGACCATCAGAACAGCCTCCTCTTGCGGACTTGCCTAGTGGTCCCGTGGTTAGGACTCAACACTTTCACTGCCAGGGACCAGGGTTCAATCCCTGGTCAGGGAACTAAGACTACGTAAACTGTGCAAAGTGAACATGAAAGTCGTTAAGTCGTGTCCTACTCTTTGCGATCCCATGGACTATACAGTCCATGGAATTCTCCAGGCAACAATACTGGAGGAGGTAGCCTTTCCCTTCTCCAGGGGATCTTCCCAACCCAGGGAACGAACCCAGGTCTCCCACATTGCGGGCAGATTCTTTACCAGATGAGCTACCAGGGAAGTGTAAACCCATGCCGCGTGACCAAAAAAAGAACACCCTTCTTTCTGCTCTTCCCACCTGCAACCCTTTCCCTTCACGTCCTCAGATGCTAGTGCTCCCCAAATAAATGAGATGTCAATCCCCAACATTAACAAAGTCAATGCCCCCCCACAGCTTCCCGGATTGCGCTCAATAGCTGCTCTCTCGTTTGGTCCCCACCCCACAACCTCATCTCTCCTACTACTTCTTTCCCTGCCTCATGGACCCCCGGCCTAATGACACCAAGGACCCCAGACACCTTGGAGTCTTTGGCTGTGTGGCTTCCCCCGCCAGGTATGCTGTTTTGTCCCTTCATTGACGGTCAGACTTCTCATCCTTCAAGACCCGGTTCCAGCCTCTCCCAGCCATCCAGGCAGACAGCCTCACGAGGTGTGGGCCGAGTCTGCTTCCACCTTAGACCAGCCTGGGCCTGACTCATTTCTGCTTCTCCCCAGCAATCAACATGCTGTGAGGCACAAGATACATGTTCACTAAAAACCTGAATGGAGAGATGAATGAATAGCATATTCCTTCATACCATTATCCCAGCATAAACACAACGGAAATAAGTTCCATTTAAAAATTTTTAAAATTGAAATATAACTGATATACAGTATAACTTATAGGTGTACACTATAGTGTTTCACAATTTTTAAAGGTTATATTCCATTTGTAGTCATTATAAAACATTGGCTATATTCCCTATGGTATATAATATATGCTCATAATTTAGTCATTTTATGCATAGAAGTTTGTATCTCTTAATCCTCTTCCCCTATATTGCTTCTCTCCTACCCTCTCCCCACTGTTAACCGCTAGTTTGTCCTCTGTATCTGTGACTCTGCTTCTTTTTTGTTATATTCACTAGTTTATGGTATTTTCTGGATTCTACATATAAGTGACATCATACAGTATTTATTTTTCTTTGTCTGACTTATTTTACTTAGCCTAATACTCTCCAAGTCCATCCATATTGCTGCAGGTGACAAATTTTTTTCTTTTTTATGGCTAAGTAGTATTCCATTGTGTGTGTGTGTGTGTGTGTACACACCACACCTTCTTCATTTGTTCATTTGTTGACGTGCACTAAGGTTGCTTCTATGTAACTGTAACTGTAATATAAAAAATGCTGCTATTAACATTGGGGTGCATATATCTTTTTGAATTAGTTTTTCTATTTTTTTAGATACATACCAGGGAGTGGAATTGCTGGGTCATAAGGTAGTTCTATTTTTAGTTTTTTGAGACACCCCCATAATGTTTTCCTTAGTGGCTGCAACAATTTACATTCCTATCAACGGTGTTTGAGGATTCCCTTTTCTCCACATCCTTACCAACAGCTGTCATTTGTGTTCTTTTTGATGACAGCCATTCTGAGTGGTGTGAGATGATTTCTCATGGTGGTTTTGATTTGCATTTTCCCTGATGATTAATGGCATTGAGCACCTTTTCATGTATCTGTTGGCCATTTATGTATCCTTTTTGGAAAAATACCTATTTAGGTCTTCAAGGCAGGGATTTTTGCTTGTTTTGTCCATTGCTGGTTCTCTAATGACACTATGGCACCTGGCACATAGTAGGTGCTCAATAAATACTCATTAAATGAAAAAAAAAAACAACCACCAGGGACTTTCTTGGCAGTCCAGTGGTTAAGACTCTGCACTTACAATGCAGCGGGTGTACAGTGCAGGTTCGATCCCGGGTTGGAGAACTAAGATCTCACATGCGGTGTGCTGCAGTCAGAATTTTTAAAAATAAACTAAATATTGATTAAATGAGTGAATGCATGAAAGATACACAACTCAAACCTGGCTGCGGCTCTAAGGATGGACACAGGCACACACAATATGATGATGATGATAGGCTCCGTCATGGGTCAGTGATTGTGACCTCAACATCCATGATCACTTAAAGTCTACTCAATTACCCGGTGAGGTGGGTTGCCTGGACCACACAGCAGCCTCTCTGCCTAAGTGGCCTTTCTAGAGCATCAGCATCACCAGGTCACTGCCTGCTCTGAAAACCTCTCCAGTTCCCCATTGCTGATGAAATAAAATCCAGACTTCCTCACCTTACTTTCCACTTTAGCATCCCCCCATGTACCCGGTTCCAGTCTCAAGCTAGTCCCCATGTCTCCCCACCTCTATACCTTTCTTCATGTTATTCCTGACTCTTGGAATACCCTTCCCTCTCCCATCCCTAGTTCTAATTCCTACTCTTCCTTCCACGTTTAGCTGCAGGAGTCTTTCTTGACCCTCCTGAAGCCGGAGAGCAGCTTGTTACATATACAGATGACCAGGTTTCTTCCTTGGAAATTCAGAATCAGTAGATCTGGGTTTTTAGCACGGACCTCTGGCAATTCTTATTTTCAGTCAAGTTTAGGAACCATGGTATATCAGATAAGCAAGGTTAAGGCTAGGTTATGCTACACAACAAACATCTCCCAAATCTGAATGATATAATACAACAAACTTTTATTTTTGCCATGGGCTTGAGTTACTTCCCAGAGCACCTGTCCTTCAAGGGAGACTCAGAGACTTATCA